TGCCCTCAACACGATTTCCCTGCTACAATACAATCGAATTCCGTCATTGAAATACTTCATACAACATCAAGCACTGAATTACGTTAGCCATTTTAACGCGACATAAAATATTTAATTGAACCACCATGCGGGGTTTTGGGTTAGCAATGGGCAATAGCAATGAACTAGATCTAGACTAGATCTTTTTTAACTGTATGACCCAGACAGCAAGCTGAAATTAAACGAACGAATGACACTCTCAGCTCAGTACTTAAGATATGTCTATCGCCAACCACTTAAAAAAGGGGGATTTAAAAGCCTATAACTTCAACATGCAATAAAACTTTTTTTTTTTACTGCTATTACATATTGGTTTTAAATTGTACTCAAAACTTGTGCAGAATAACAAAACATGTTATAGTTCATGTTATAAAGTTTACAATGTAAATTACATTAAGAAACAGGAAACGTGTCGATTAGCCATACTGTACATATATATTCCATTTATTTTTGATGATACTGATACTTGAAGCATAAGCTACTTACCTCAAGTACTAAGCTTAGTACAAATATAAACAAGAGATATGAAGGCTGTATGACTAGATCTAGTAGGGTACGGCTAATCGACAAGATAGAGAAAGTTGTGAAATGTGAAATTGGTCTCACCTGTTTAAAAACTGCTGAACTGAACTTCAACAATCTGCTCGACTGAACTAGCCTTAACCCTTTAGTGGACTGAACTAGCCTTAACCCTTTAGTGGACGAGAAAATCTGACGTGTCTGTGTGCAGTGTCTAGGTGACGGGGTTCAGTCTAGCCGGCCCGTGTGAATGTACCGGTTGGGTGGGGCCGTTGGTGGGGGGTGGGGGAGATAACGAGGAGGAAATAGAGAGGGTGATTCATTCCCCACCTGCTAGGTCTGTGGCAGGGAACACAAGGGGCAATTGTCTGCTACAAGGGGAACATGTACGGGGGTCTCCGGTAGAGTGGAACATGTACGGGGGCTCCGGTAGAGGGGAACATGTACGGGGGTCTCCGGTACACGGGGAACATGTACGGGGGTCTACGGTACAAGGGAACATGTACGGGGGTCTACGGTACAAGGGAACATGCACGGGGTCTCTTTTAAAAGGCAATATGAATATGATTAGGGTTGTCCATTACTAGGGAACACGAACAGGTTTGACCGTAACAGAGGGACATGTGTAGGGTTGTCCGTTACTCGGAAACATATTTTGTGTTGTCCGTTACAGGGGAAGTTTTTGGTTGTCCGTTAATCGGAAATATGTTTTTGGTTGTCCGTTACAGGGGAACATGTTTTGGGTTGTCCGCTACTCGGAAACATGTTTTAGTTGTCCGTTACAGGGGAGAACATAAGAAATTGTCCGGTTGAGTGGAATATGAAGAAATGTTTTTTTTTTTTGGAATGTGGGAAAGTTGGCCGATTCAAGGGAATGTGCTGCCCTTTTTCCTTTAACTGCCTTTCATATATGTTAAAGTTTACCCAGTTAGAGATTCTGCGCCATTTATTTTTTTAATGTGAGGGGACGGGGGTGGGGCTTTGGCGTCCACTGGGGGTCTGGTTCTTGTGACGATATGTTGAGGGAAGTGTCTACAATTTTAAAAATCATCTTAAATGGTTTTGCGTCACTTACGTATAAACCCTTTACTATTACCTTTAGAATCCGCCTATCTATAAGAATAAAATCCCAATAAATTGACTTTGTTGACATGGGGCATAACCGGTTTAAACTGGCGACTCTGTGGTTATCAGAGTTATCTGTTGATACTTTGAATAAACGGTAACTCTACATTACTCTACAACGGTAAAAATAATGGCCACAGCCGAAATTCTTCGAAAGGACCATTAAATATTTTAAAAATCATTTACGATGTTATTAAAGTAAATGTAATTATAAAATCTAGCTGTTTGATTTTTTGTTGTAGGCCTAACTTACTAAAGAATGGAAGATTTAATATTTTGGTAACTAAACACAAAAAAAATGTATTGCTAATTAATGGTCATGCATTGCCCAAATTTGTAAAACTTGATGCTGGCATACTGATTACAATGCACACTTTAGGCCAAATTTAGTGATACAGGAGACGGGGGGGGGGGGGGATTTAAAGAAATAACGCAACATACCAATAGTAAAACAGAACCAAACATTTTAAAAATCTACAATAGTAAAATAAAATGAAAACAAAATTATTAATTTTAAAATCTCATATAGTAAAACATAAAATAACATCATCTAGTCCAATTTTTAAAAACAAACACAAAATTATAATGTATCACTTTAAAATTAATAAACAACCCACATTTGAAAAAAAACACAAATGAAAGTAAAAAGAAAACAAGCTTTATCAAAATGTAATTTAAAAAAACACAATAAAATCAATTTTAGTTTAAAATAAATCTAGATTCTGTATTTTAATCTCTTGGACTTAAAACCGCAAACAACGGCAAAAACAAGAAAATGTCCAAATGTCCACAATGATGCGCATTTGGTTAAAAGTGGAAAATAATTAAGAGCAATACGTTGGCTAAAATTTAAAGGCCTTAGTGCTCAAACTACTTAAAACAAAAAAAAACACTTTGAGATAAATGAGTTTAAAATTCTAAATTGGCTATAAAACATAAAGTTTTATTTTATGTGTTTGTATCTAAGATAAAGTCATACAAGAGAAATAAAGATCTCTGCTTGGCAGATTTTCTTCCAGTCATCTCTTCGGGGGGACAAAGCCCCTCCGAAAAAATTCTACCCCCCCCCCCCCGAACGAAATGAATTTTTTATAATATACATAGAAAATAATATATACTTTTAACAGTGTCCGCCCCCCCCCCCCCCCCGAAGAAAGTCTACCGCCCCCCCCCCCCCCCCCGAAAATGTCAAGTTCCCCCCCCCCCCCCCCCCCCCCCCCTCGGAGAAAAAAGTATGGAAGAAATACTGCTGCTAGGTTTAACACAAAAATGTGAGTTAAGTACTTTTACCACAATACTAGGCTCTTCGTTTGGTTGATGTGTTATTAAAATTAAAACTGTGTTGCTTTCCATTGAATAAAAAATAATAATAATACAGTGTAACAAGTTACTAAAGAGATTACATTTTGTGTAAGTAATTTTGTTTCCGTCTGGTAAACTACCTTTATGTATTTAGCAAATCACCGTTTGTCCATCAATTTATAAGTACAAATAATATTTTTCGTACAAGTATATCGGTATTTATAATGGAAACAATCCATACTAATGGTACAAAATGGGATAGACTTAGCCAGTGTATCTTTCAGACATTTTTCTTCGCAAAGGGGACGCTTGAAACGTTGTAGGGGGGGGGGGGGCACTAAAGTTTCCAGGGGGAGGTAAACACTAGTTGAAGTTTATATTTTTCTATGCAGGGATCGTTCATAAATGACGTCACCCAAATAGTAATTTTGTGACGGTGTGTCACGAGGGGAAAGGGGGAGGGGGGGGGGGGGGGGGGGGGTTAGGTGGTGTGACGTCACACTTTTGCATTATTAAAAAAAAATAAAAAGCAATGTTAGAAAACGAATTTTAACCGTTATTTTGCGATTTAGAAAACTGTTTTAATCAATTAATTAAAAGACTCTATGTTGACAGAGTTCAGACAATTTTTTTTAAATATCGATGTCTTAAAAAAGATTCAAATTGCAAATTTGAGAGGGTTTGTAGAGGGGGGGTCTGACTTTTGTGATGATAGGCGACGGAGTGGACGTGAGTGGTAAAAATCGTCAAAAAAGCGTGACATCATTTATGGCTGACCACATATAATATTCATTATACATTTTTCAGTTTCGCGGGGGGGGGGGGTGCTTCATATGAGGTTAAGGGGTGTTTGGGGGTGGAATGAGTATCGTTGTCAGGTAAAGTACGAAATTTCGAATGATTAATCTATGGCATACTTTGGGGTCCTCTAATGCAAAAAATAAAGAAGCGTATAAATGATACACAAATTGACTCTAAGGGTCATTTCTCTCTCCGTCCCTGAGAGCATAACCCTCACCTCATTCCGGGCTATATAGAAAAAAGTATAGTTCATATAGAGAATGAAAAATGTATACTTTAACAAGTGTCTAGCCTGCCCTTCTCCCCTCCATAGAGTTGTATGACAAAAACCAGTTGCACTCACAATTAAATTAAGCATCCAATGAAGTCAAATTTAATTTCACATTACACTGGCATCGGATCTTGACTATCGTGTCAGGTCGTAATTTTGCTCGCCATTTTCGACCAACGACGAAGCACGACAAAAGCAATTATGATGAAGCATAAGTTAAGTAAAAGCTTGTAAAAAGCCAGACCCCCCCCCCCTAAAAGAACGTCATAATAAATGCCTCATAACTTACAGTAAAGCGTGTTTTTCATCATATTTGCTTCTGAAACCACTCACACTTTCTTATCACCACTATAACGTCAATCGTCACACACCGTAACAATAGTCCAACCACACTTCCCCCCCCCCCCCCCAAAGGGCAAGGAGTGTGATGTTATGTATGGACGTACCCTAATAGGGGGAATTACTATATACACTATAGACATACACTCCGACAAAATATCGAAATTGTTTTATTAATATTATACACCTGAATGCATTTACAGTTGTTGTTTCTTTTGATTGCTAAAATTAAGTCCGTTTGCTTTTGATAACATAGTAGTCGTATAAAACGCATGAAGCTAAAATTACGTCATAGTGTATTTTTAGAAAGAGTCACGCATCGGAAAGGCAGCAAAAATTTCCACTGCTTTTACCACGTGACCATATAGTGGCAGCTTTCCATTACCAATATGGGCTGTGACGTAAATGTCGCTGTTCCATAAATTGTACTTGCTTAGCCGTTAAATATATTATTTGTTATATTTTTATATTTTCATCTATTTAATTACATTTTTTATAAAATTTCTTGCTTATGTGTTGTTTTTATTCAAGTTTTTAAACAAAAGTGAAATAGTTATTAACTTTTTTTTTAAAGTATCTATGCTAATATATCACATGATACCCATGACGTAGTTCCTGCAACGGCGATAATACACTTGTGTTCAGAAGAAAGAACTGCATTCATATATCACTGAAAATGCTTATTACAGTAAACTAGGAACTTGATCTTGGTAAAATTAGCTTGAAAACATTTAATTGGACATTCCGTAATTTTTGGAAGGATGTTTTACTTCGGAAATGCATTATTGGATCATTGTGTTCTTTTTTGCATCTGGTAGCGTAACAATTTCAGTCCGGTCACAACTGTGAACAGCCGAGTTCGAGACCGAGCTACGGAGTTTGCCTTCTAAGCTTGGCTTGTGTTTGCCAAAACCACAGACATTGTATTTGTAGTCTACCCCAAATCTTGGTCTGCTCATGTTGTAATTATAAATTTAAATTGTTCATAAGACGTTAATACTTCTTCTTCCTGCAGTAAATTTGAAAAAGAATAACCCACTTTATTTGACTTGAAGCTTGCCAACATTTTAATATTGGCCTACTGGATCCCTTAGCTAAGACTGGCTAAGTAGAGAAATTCAGTTAGCTGGTGAACCAGGAACACACTGCCCTTCATTATTCCACGTCACTATTCAATTTGTACAAGAGCTAGATATACAACATCAATTAAAATCAAGAATGCCGATGGCCCAGCAATTGGACTCGACAGGTTGGCTTCTAGACCAGATTTCTAAATCTTGATCTACTTTATAACTTAAATCTAGATCTAGGTCTAGAAATCTAGATCTAACATTCTAACTAACTAATATTAACAGAGATTTTAGATCTAGATCTATTAAGAAGAAATACATTCAGATTTAACAGTATGAGTATAGAAGTATAACAGATGTTTTAGTTTAGAAGATCTAGATCTATGTAACTTTTGTTAAATTTTATAATTATTAGTGTAAAATGTAAATTTGTGAAGCCTAATCCCTTAGTGGTCAACCAAGTGCAATTGAATCTGGCCTGCTAAATATGCAAAATGCAATAACCTTAATATCTGTGCAATTGGCTCAAATTAAATAATTAATAGCTGCGTAATGGGATCAATTACTCTTTAGCTTTATTCTTCTGACAACACTTTATGTACCGTGAGGTCTAGCAATTGCGCTGTGAGCGGGTCTTAAGGGTTTGAGGGTTTATAGACATAGTATAGCTAGCAAAGAGTTCTAGTCTACAAGTATAAAATGTTTTTAAAATCTATTTTAATAGCCTATTAGTATTTAAATATACTGTTATCCCTGTCCCATTTAAGTCTAATCATAGTCCCAATCAGAGAACATGTAGATAGGATAAACCAGGTAATTGTAGAGCTATGCACATCTTTTTCGGACTAGAATCGGCCTTTTTAATTTTCTTTTCTTGACACTGAACATGAAATCTAGACTTGTATGATAAAAACTTACTTGCTTTGATTTTGTTTGTCTTACAAACACTTTTATATTTTAAAATGTAGGTCTTGCAGAACTAGCTCACCGGGAATATCAGGCTGGTGATTATGAACGTTCAGAACAACATTGTATGCAGCTTTGGCGCCAAGAACCTGATAATACTGGTGTTCTCCTTTTATTAAGCTCAATACATTTTCAGTGTAGGAGATTAGAAAGGCAAGTATGCTCTGTAAAAAAATGGGTTTAAATTTTTTACTATTTGGCCTATTAAACTAAAACTGAAAACTGCTTCTTAGATATAAGAAATAGGCCTATAGGTTAGTTGGTCTTAATAGACTAATATATGAGTAGGCCTAGTATTAGTAGGTGTACCAATGCCAAGTTTGTTACTCATAAGTAATGAAATAGCCTACATTTTTTCAAAGGTTTATTCAAGAGCTTTAGCCCAAGCATTTGAAATTAAAAAAAGAAAATTACTTTCAAGATCAAAAAGTGGAGCAGTATGTTACAATTTGTATTAATATAATTCAGTAATTTTTAAGATGTTCACAAAATATTTTTTTTTTTTTTAAATTTTAGGTCCGCTTACTTTAGCCAGCTTGCTATTAAGCAAAACCCTATGCTAGCTGAAGCCTACTCAAATTTAGGAAATGTTTTTAAAGAACGCAACCAACTGTCTGAAGCTTTAGAAAACTATCGCCATGCTGTTAGACTGAAACCAGATTTTATAGATGGCTACATCAACTTGGCTGCTGCTTTGGTGGCTGCTGGAGACATGGAGCAAGCAGTACAGGCTTATGTTACAGCATTACAGTACAATCCTGTAAGTACTAGATATGAAAATTATTAGAAATTCATGTTCAGATATATTAAGGTGCCAGGTATATATTTTAATTCAATTTTTTTCAATCAAATTGATGTTGTACATATTTTTCTTTCAGGATTTATATTGTGTCAGGAGTGATTTGGGAAATCTGTTAAAGGCACTTGGTCGCTTGGATGAAGCAAAAGTAAGATTATCATGTAGTCAAGACTCCAAAATGTCATCCTTCTTAATGCTAACAGGGAGGTATTCATATTCAGCCCATGCTAAGCATTCCCAATACTGCTAATCTCTTTGGTTTAATATTAAAGCAAAATGCTCATGAAAATGGCACACTTTTTATGAAAAGTGAAAGAAATAAATCCGCAACAATTTTATTGGCTCCTTAATTTCTAAAAACTGTGTCATAAAATGTTTTCAAAGCTTTGAAAAATATGTTGATGGAACTTTTGAGTTGTATATCAAGCTTATAAATGTTTTTCGATAAGCTTTAGACATAAAGGCTGTATATAGTAGGAAAAAACAAATTTGTTCACACTTATTGATACTGTGTAAATTTAGGGTGGTTTGGTTTTATTCAGCTTTCTAACTGCAAGCTCTTAATATACATCAACATAGTCATGAACATTTTGTTTTGTTAAAATTTACAGAAGAAGAACTGGCAGTTGATGCAGTTATATTCCCCATCCTGATATTAAATTGTTTTGCCAACCTTTTTTAAAGTATTTTGATTTTTATCTTGCTCCTTATTAAAATTTATGGAAAACTGTTTGAGACAATATATTGGGTCATCGCAAAGTAAAATGTTAACTGAATGGATAAAAAGTTTGGCACTTTATTTTTTTGTTTTCAGCGCTCCCACTTATATTTGCTTTCACTTCACAGCTGTCTTTCTTAATTAATGAGAGCTCAAAATATTTAAAACAATATCATTATTGAAATTGATTTGAAAACCTGTTCACATTGCAAAACATTTAACTCAATTTTTGAGCTCTCAGTAAAGATGTTTGGGAATGCTTACAAGCTAAAAAAAATTCATAGGGTGCATATACTTTTCATTAAAACAGTTTCTGTTCTAACATTACTTCTTACCTCTCACACTGTCTTGATCTCATACTAAAATCATTCAGAGAAAAGGGTTTGGATTTTTATAAAATCTGGGCATCGTTTGTGGTTAAGTCACTGGCTAATGACTTCTACTTTTTAATTTCTGGTTTATAAATAGATGGAGGGTCCTTACTTCATGTTCGGCAATGCCTCCACAGAGTTGCATCGTTGGAATTTATCACTCCAGTACTGATGGAACTAAAGCTCGGTATGATAATAAAATTATATGGTTTATTTTCATCAAGGTATTGTATTGTAGTGTTTTCCCCTCTTTAAAAGTTCTAGCTAGGCTCTTCTTTAGCTTAATTTTCTTCTGTAAAGTCAAGCTTTTTTTTTTTAGTTCTTTGTAGAGATTCAGGTAAGAATGACAAAATTCATACCACATTCTATCAAAAACCTTTTCTTTATCTAAGATGTCTGAAAAGCGCCATCATTATAGAACCCAGGTATTGTTCAGTCTTGTCTATCCAGGTGTAATAAGTCAGTTATTGCGCGATTGCGAAGCTTTAGCGCGAGCCATGTCCTTTCAGTGTAGCATAATATCTAAATTCACTTTTTGTCTAAGTTTGAATCGGTTTACTTATAAAAGAGAATGTAATAAGCATGTAACATTGTACAGAAAAATGGTGCACCCGAAGGACAAGGTGTCTAGTGATGCATACTTTAAAGGAATTTAAGGGTTGCTTGTTTTTAGTTGTCAACCTTTAAGTTTCTTATATCACTTTGCGCGTGCATAGGCGATGCGAGGCATATGCGATGCGATAGGCGTCAAGCATGGCAGCGTGCAAGCAGCAGCAGCGGCAAATAAAGCGGCGGCAGCATACGCAAAGCAATTTTTAATGTTCCAAATGCATAATGTCATTTTTTGGCCCTCCCCCTCATCCGGTTTCAGGCTTGTTACCTGAAGGCCATAGAAACATGTCCAAATTTTGCTGTTGCATGGAGTAACTTAGGCTGTGTCTTTAATGCTCAAGGGGAGATATGGTTGGCCATTCATCATTTTGAAAAGGTATTTATTTTGATTTAAAGGTAGTTTATATAAAAAAAAATTCTGTAGTGGTGTTATTGAGGAAACTAATCTTTTGATATGCATCTTTGAATTTATAGGCTGTTGCTTTGGACCCCAATTTTTTAGATGCTTACATCAATCTCGGTAATGTCCTGAAAGAAGCAAGAATTTTTGACAGGTTTAAATATTTTTCGTTCTCATTTAAAATACAATTTTCTTATATATCTATAGGTAAATGATTATTTTGTATCAAGCTTGTATAATTGAAATCTAATAAAAAAAATTTAATTTCAGATCTGTTGCAGCTTACCTAAGAGCTTTAAATCTAAGTCCTAATCATGCAGTTGTACATGGAAATTTAGCTTGTGTTTATTATGAACAAGGGCTCATTGATCTAGCTATTGATACATACAAAAGAGCAATTGATCTTCAACCAAATTTTCCAGATGCATACTGTAATTTAGCAAATGCATTAAAAGAAAAGGGACAGGTACGTTCTAAATTTTTTTTTTTTTTAACTTTCTTGTTCATATTTCATTAGTTTAAAAAAAAAATTACAAAAAAAAAAATTAAATTTCAGGTTAAAGAAGCTGAAGAATGTTACAATACAGCATTAAGACTTAGCCCAACTCATGCAGACTCACTCAATAATCTTGCAAACATAAAGCGTGAACAGGGCAATACAGAAGAAGCAGTAAAACTCTACCTAAAAGCATTGGAGGTATTTTTTAAAAATATTTCTCAAAGTAGATCATTCGTTGTGTGAATTTTAGTGAACACACAATTTTCACTTTTTTTTTTAAAACTTGTCTTTTATTTCTCAAATTACACCATTGATTTTAATGAAAATACTTTTTAAAACAATCACTTCAGGTTTATCCAGAGTTTGCAGTCGCCCATTCTAATCTTGCAAGTGTTCTCCAGCAACAAGGAAAGCTGCATGAAGCATTAATGCATTATAAAGAAGCCATAAGGTATGAAATGGGGTTGTTTCTTTTTTGAGAATATCATATATTTTTTTCAATTTAGTTTTTCTAATTTAAAAATAACTTTTCCTAGAATATCCCCAACTTTTGCTGATGCATATTCCAACATGGGTAACACACTTAAGGAAATGCAAGATATTCAGGGTGCTCTTCAATGTTATACACGAGCTATACAAATCAACCCAGCCTTTGCAGATGCTCACAGTAACTTAGCTTCAATACACAAGGTATGTGGTTAATGTAAATGGTTAATTTTAAATAACTTTTTCTAGATCAAGCCCCTTGTAAGAGAAAGTCAAGGTGGATATGCATAGTACTGACCACATTATCCTTTCATTTGCTAAGGTTGCAGGAAAAAAATTAACTTGACAATCAGCCATTGCTTGGCATGTAAAGTCTATCAAAATGGCTTTGTTTAATTAAGCGCTTCAGAAGTCTGTACCTGCACTCAATTTTATTATGTCAAAAACATTACATTACATTAGTAACTTAGTTTTCTGGTGTAAAAGCTAAAATTAACTCCGTTGTATTATTTTATAAGGACTCAATTTATTTTTCTATTTATAGGATTCTGGCAACATTCCTGAGGCTATTGCATCTTACAGAACTGCCTTAAAGCTAAAGCCAGATTTTCCAGATGCATATTGCAATCTTGCACATTGTTTACAGGTACATTTGTTACATATCTTTTATTAACATGGTGAAACTATCTGGTTTTCTGTATTATTGTATATACTTTTTGTCTTTCAGATTGTTTGTGATTGGACTGATTATCCCAGTCGCATGAAGCGGTTGGTACAAATTGTCAATGACCAGCTCGAGAAGAATCGCCTCCCATCTGTTCATCCCCACCATAGTATGCTGTACCCACTTACTCATTCAATGCGAAAATCTATTGCTGCTCGACATGCTAGTCTGTGTTTAGAGAAAATCAATGTCCTTCATAAACCTCCTTACCATCATCAAAAAGAGCGTCTATCAAATGGTGGGCGTCTTCGCATTGGCTATGTCAGTTCTGACTTTGGAAATCACCCTACCTCACACCTCATGCAGAGTATACCAGGCCACCATGACCAAAGTAGAGTTGAGGTTAGTTGATACAAATTTTGTTTGATAGCTTGCTGTTTTAATGAATCATTGCAGATCTTCTTGTCTAGTAGCTGGAATGTTTTGAAATGATTCTATATCAAATTTAGCAGGTGGCATATAACCTGAATTGTTTAAATTTTGGGTTCGTAAATCCTGCTTACACCAGTGATTTCAGATATTTCTCTTTCAGTAAAATTATCCACCACTGAAATTGTTTTAATTAAAACGAATTTGAGGAATATGAAAATAATTTTCCGCCCAAAGAAAAAAAAACTTGATTTGTCAGTGATAGTTTCATGTTTTATTTTGTACTTATTGATTTTTTTTCAGTCAGTGGATAATTTAGCACCACTTTATAACTTCAATTCCTGAATTTTTCTTTCAGATATTCTGTTATTCTTTGAGTCCAGATGACAGCACTACCTTCAGACAAAAGATTTCTCAAGAGGCTGAGCACTTCATTGATCTGTCAAAAATTCCATGCAATGGCAAAGCTGCAGATAAAATTCATGCAGATGGTATTGATATCCTAGTCAACATGAATGGTTACACTAAAGGTGCAAGAAATGAGTTGTTTGCACTGAGACCTGCTCCTATCCAGGTTAGTTTCTATATTTTGTTGTCCACTCTTATTTTGTAAGATTTATTTCCCTTTTCCTCTATTTCATTACTGCTTGACAAGTCATGAACATTATTTCTTGACTAATTACAGGTAATGTGGCTTGGGTATCCTGGAACATCAGGAGCCTCTTTCATGGACTATATCATCACAGATAAAATAACATCTCCATATGAGCTGTACTCTCAATACTCTGAAAAGTTGGCCTTTATGAAAGACACTTTCTTCATAGGTGATCACATGAACATGTTCCCTCATATGCAGTACCGTTTGGTGTTGAGAGTAACAGATTCTAATGGACAACCTACAAAGTCAATCATGTATTTGAATGCACTTGATCTGGAGCCAATCAAATCTTTAGCAAATGCTGTAGAGGTAAGCTAGTATAATTTACTTTATATAAATTAGGCTCTCTCTCTCTCTCTCTCTAGTATTTGTTGTACCTGGATATTGTTACTCCTCCAGGAAGTGACATACACAGCTCTTCCTGGAGCTACAACAGATGAACCTGATGGCAGTCCAGCTACCATCACAAGCACCATCATTGAGCTGCCACACTCTGTTGTTCAGTCCTTTCAGACAATGATTGCTTCTAATCAGGCACAGATCATGGTGAACAACATTATTATTCAGAATGGTCTGACTACAAACCAGGTATGTAGTTTTCATAACCAAATATTAAAAAAAAAATTTTTTAGTACATATTAAACTTAAGATGAACTCAGTAGCATAATAAATTTTTATGTTATTACCTTTCTAGACTAACAACAAGTCTGCCACTGGTGAAGAGATACCACGCTGTGTCATTTTGTCATCTAGACTACAGTATGGACTGCCAGATGAAGCTGTTGTGTATTGCAACTTCAACCAGCTTTACAAGATTGATCCTGCCACCTTAGAGATGTGGGTGAGTACAGGTTTCACTTCTGGCCTCTGTCTAAGTTAGATGCTGGTTTCTTTACATCATGGTTTGACCAGTGTTACTTTTTTTTTTAGTGTGAGATCCTCAAACAAGTTCCAAACAGTGTTTTATGGTTACTGAGGTTTCCTGCTGTTGGTGAAACAAATATTCATCAAACTGCTCAAAACTATGGTCTTTCACCTGGCAGGATCGTCTTCTCCAATGTAGCACCCAAGGTGAGGCATTTTGCTACAATTATATGTATGTTAATCTTAGACATTTTTCTTGAAAGTTATCTATTAATTCTGTGGCTTATTATTCTCAGGAGGAACATGTTCGACGTGGTCAAGTTGCTGATGTTTGTCTTGATACACCTCTGTGTAATGGCCATACCACAGGAATGGATGTCTTGTGGGCTGGTATACCCATGGTTACTTTCCCAGGTAATAAAAGTATGTTTCAAAATGATTTATCCTGGCTTTAAAATATAACTAACATTATATAACTAACATTATATAACTAACATTTTATAACTAACATTTTATAACTAACATTTTATAACTAACATTATATAACTAACATTATTTAACTAACATTATTTAACTAACATTATATAACTAACCTTATATAACTAAAATGTAAGTGAATGTTCATAGCTATTTCTATATTTAACAGCTGAAACCCTAGCATCCCGAGTGGCCTCAAGTCAACTTCATTCATTGGGATGTCCTGAACTTGTGGCTGACACAAGAGAAGAATACATTAAAATTGCTGTAAGACTAGGACTGGACCAACTGTAGTAAGTTTTACATGTACTGCTGTTTACTTTTAAATTAGGCTCATCCAATAATTTAAACATAACTTGTTACAACATTCTAAAACATTTCATATTTGTTTGCTAGTTTACAAGGCATGAAGGCAAAAGTCTGGAAAGCTCGCACCACAAGTCCACTATTTAATACCAAGATTTATGCCAACAACCTGGAAAATCTGTTTGAACGCATGTGGGAACGCTATGAACAAGGATTGGAGCCAGATCACTTGATAAAACCATGGAACATTGCAAATGGCTCATAGAGCATCCTTGTTTTGTAATTTTTACATTAGATTATGGCTTTCAACTTATTTTGTTTAATATTGAGCAGTAAATGAGAGATTTGTCCATTATTGTATTCCAATGATTTGTCTTTCTTTGGGTTTTTTTTTTCTCTGAATAATTCATTCTACTTGGGGTGTGTAGTCTCACACAGCAAATGATTTCTTTTTTTTTTACTGTATATATTTAATGTATTGGTTTGGAGTTTTCCTTTTGTAAAAAAAGTTGTAATTGCCCATATTCAGAAACAAAATAGATGTACATATATTTATAGTTGTGCATTTGATGTGTTCATAGCTGTAAAAATCAGTTGTATGGTACCTGAGAGCAAACACTGTAAGCCAAGTGTTTTCATTGAACTGCTCATCAATGTATTTGAGCTTTTTGTACATAACTGCTTAGTCTGTGGAGACAATAAAATTTTGGTGGAGACATTTTTTGTTCTTTTACTGATATAATTTATTTGAGTTACCAAAGGTGTGACTCGTTATGTTTTGAAAAAGATTTTAAATCTGTTAAATACATAATCTAGTTTATAAAGTAACTTGTTAAAGAAATAACTTAATTCTTTTGTTGGTGGAAAATTACCATTAAGGAATGAGCTAGGTAACATTTTGCCACCAGCGAGCTAGTGTAATTCCGGTGCATGGACAAATGAAGTAATTAAAGAAAAACGCTTTTTTTTCTGTGACCTTTGCATATGAAGGGATAACAATGGCTAGTGGGCCAACGGAAGACTAATAGTTAATAAACATTTCCATGTGGTTTGGTAGGCTAAAGGAGTAGATCTACTTGATGAAAACATACTCGATTAGTGCCCCTCCTTCACTTTTTTTAACCGGTGGATATTTCTATTAGAACGTGTTTATTTAGGTAAACCAAAATGTCTTGTTAGAATTAATTGCCGAAGTATAGGGATGAGAATAACAAAATGTGTTCAAACATGTAAGGCCTACGAAATCTTAAATGGAATTTTTTTTTTCTCTCTTCTTACACACTTTGCCTGTGAACTCTCCCTGGTTGAAAAACAGTTTTCCTTACTCGTGCTAGTTGGTTGCACTAAAAATGGAAGATATTAGGCCTAATTGCTTAGCGGTGCGAAATATTTTATTGGTTTCATGTCAATTCGAACAATGTTTTCAATACGAACTCTTACCGGGGCACTAAACTATTGATTAAACTTCTTTGGTACAGAAAAAGGATTGGAGTCTGTGTTGTAAGACTAGTATCACTGTACCGTGTATTCCTCGATTACTTATAGGTAGAACGATCCACAAATTAATGATTGGTGACTCTTTTCTTTGTACACGTCGTCAGATAAATATTAATTAAATAAAAATTTAAATAGGTCAACACACACAACATCTTGCCACAACCTTTTTAAATGATTCCCCCTCTCAAGACCACTTAGTCCTAGTTTTTACTCGGGCTTTCAAATCATGTGCTCATAGTTTCAACTATAATTGTTGTCTTTACGGTGTTTTGGCAAGCCAAACGGGACATATTAACAAGTAACCAAGCGTCTTACTTAGGGCAGATCTATGTGACGTATTGAGACGAAATCACGAGACATATGGGGAAAATGTTGGGACGTCTTGCAGACTCGAGTCGGCATTTTAGGATTATATATATATATATATATGTGTGTGTGTGTGTGTCAGAGGCGTAGCGGGGGGTACGGACCGCACCGGGTGACACCATTTAGGGGGGTGACACCAAGGCAAAAAATAGCAAAATTAAAATATATAGAGAAAAACTTGAGTGGGGGTGCAAATCAAATTTTAAGGGGGGGGGGGGTGCAAATCGAAAATTTGAAAGTTTGTCCCCGGGAAGGGTTGCTACGCCTCTGTGGGTTAACACCATTAAGTGCCACACCGGGTGACACCCGACCTCGCTACGCCACTGGTGTGTGTATATATATATATATATATATATATATATATGTATATATATATATATATATATATATATATATATATATATATATAGGCCTATATATAATTTTAAGAACCACTGGGCTGCTCTTTTCCCCCCATGTACTTTCTCCCCTAAACCCCTGCCATTAACTTTCATTAAGCGCCACCCAAGACTTGTAATCCCTTCACCTCCCGCCCAATGACGACATTGCCCTACACACCAGACATGTCCAGTCACGAAGCCGTTCTTAATAAACTCCACCAATCAATACCTGCGCTAGCCCCCCCCCCTCCTCCCTCGTCTTATCGACACTCAAAGGCTTGCCCCGGCTCAAATGTTCCACATAGATCTATTTCAACACATCGATCCAGCCTACATTCCAATCACTCGTATTATCTCCGATAAACGACTTTTATCGAGCGCCAGGGCCCGATCGAGCACACGAGAGTGGCCCGAGGAATAAACCAGGTTGGCAGGATTTCCCTAGTGGGTCACACCTGTCATTCACAGAGCGGTGCCGGAGCTGTCACGACACGCCGCGTGCTGGAACTGTGTTCAACAGACGAGCGCGCAAACATGTTTCCCAGGCAGAGCTGCAGACGTAGATTTATTAAACAATGGATGAAACATTAGAGTTTATTCGGTTTTATTTTATTTCTTTAATACAGTTTCATTAACGGGATTAAGCATAATGAGGATTACACAAGCGCAGGTTTGAGTCATTTTGTTAAAATTAAAGTAGAGCCATGTAATATTACGTTTGTTTTGTTTTTAAAGAATATATTCATCTGGTTTAGATTTGCGATTCTTCGTGTCAGTTCATATCTATACATTTACTATTAAATTAAAAGTTTAATAATTTTAGTCGTTATATATATATATATATATATATATATATATATATATATATATATATATATATATATATATATATATATATATATATATATATATATATATATATATATATATATCACTTTAATGTTTGTTGAGTTGATAAATGGTCAGTAAATGATGAAGTTTTGTGTGAATAATTCCATTTAAATAGAAAATAAAATCAATGAATATGTTATTTGAGAATTGACTTGATAACATCTTATAAGGTTAAGATTGTTTTAAATATTGTGAATACAGTTTAGGGTTGAGTAGCTATAATAAGGTAAATTTACGCGGTACGGTTCATGTTTAAAGTTTTCGTAATTATTGAAGGGTTGTTTTCGTTAAATCTAGAACACAATTTTCTGAACTATTAACATCAATATAAACTTAAATTGATATTAATAACAACATATCATATTGTAATATAGGTATGTTACAAGCTACGTGACGAAGAGACGGCAACAGAATTTTCTCTCTATCAACAGGGGAGGTAAACACACCAAAGGGACGTAATACATCTAACAACCGCGACTGATGTCATTATTGATTATGTCTACTCATCACGAGGAATGATACATCGCCGAGATGATTGTGAAGGGGAAAACATGGAGGAAACATATAACGCCTGTTGTGAACTCTCCGTTTAAAGGCTAACGGATAGTTTAGGTAAATCACGTTGATAGATAGAGTCAATTTTCAAAGCTTCCCTTTTTGCCTTATGCTATTAGGTATATTTGGATTTTGAAAACAGGAAAGATAAGCAGATACAAAAAAATTTGCTAGTTTTTATTTTGAATCGTGTCAATCGGTGCGGTCCGCGCCCCCGCCAGCTAATGGGAGGCTCTGAAAATCAGATTTCCCAAATCCCAAGACACTTCCCCATCCGAGTGGGAGGAGCTAGAACACGGAATTTTATCATCAGCTTTGTTAACAAAAAAAGTGGTCAAGGACGAATTCGGGTGGAAAATTACTAGTTAGGGGTCGTCAATAAACAGTGTTTCTTTTTTTTTTTAATGTCTCGGGGGGGGGGGGGGGAGGAGGTGGCGCATTTGAAACTATCGGGGGGGGGGGATATATTTCCTGGAGGGACGGAATCTAGTGTAAGAAGAATATATGTCTGTTATTTTTTTGGGAGGGGGGGGGGGCAGTGCACACTCTAAAGAGATGCCTGAAAGAAATACTGTCTATAAATCTCGTCACACTCACTGGGAATGGTTGGGTTCTGACTTTAGTGACAATGTATGACTAGGGGAGAGAGGGAGGAGGTTCGGATAGTGTGACGGCACTTTTAAAAATAATATTAGAAACAGGAGTTTAGGAATTATTTTTTTTGTGAACTGTAAAATTTATCATTGAACTCAATACTGAGCTCAATAAATATTTTAGAATGAATTCGCCTTTTTTAAAAAAAAAAACATTTTGAAGGCGGGTATGGTGTTATTTTATGGAGGGAGTCTGGCCTTTGTGACGATGTGTAACGATTGGGTGGGAAGGTAAAAATAGTTTCAAAAGCGCGACATCTCTAACGGAAAACCGATTAATAAAAACAAGTTTCATCCTTTGGGGATAGGCTCCAAATAGTTGAAGCAATAATACATGGCATCTAACTAACGTAATTTAAGCAATACAACAAAGTAATACACAAACGTAATGCAAATAATAACTTGTTTTTTTCAACAGGAAAAAAAACGATCTAGTCTCGGTAATGGAGACGTTACAGAGTGGACCGACGCCCCAGTGTCCGCTTATAAACACTGCACGTCTGAAGCCCTTCAGACAACGGGTCAATAGGCTCATTGTAAGTCAGTGGTCAGTCGAACATAGGCTCATTGTAAGTCAGTGGTCGAACATAGGCTCATTGTAAGTCAGTGGTCGAACATAGTGTAAGTCAGTGGTCGAACATAGGCTCATTGCAAGTCAGTAGTTGAACATAGGCTCATTGTAAGTCAGTGGTCGAACATAGGCTCATTGTAAGTCAGTGGTCAGTCGAACATAGGCTCGTTGTCATGGATAGTGGGGGGGGGGTGTGGGGAGAGGGGGTGTCTAGTGTCTTAACCATGAGTGTCTTGAATAGTGGGAGGGTGTGTGGGGGAAGGGGGGTGCCTTGTGTCTAAGCCATGATGTTGAATGTCTTTGATAGTGGGAGGGTGAACAAGAGGAGGGGAAGGGTTTCTAGTGTCTTAACCGTCATGTTGAGTGTAATGGATAGTGGGAGGGGGGTGTATGGGGGAGGGTTCTAGTGTCTTAACCATGACGTTGAATGTCTTTGGGGTGGGGGATGGGTGGGAGTGAAGGAAAAGGGGGGGGGGGGTAGTTCTAGTGTAAAACCATGATGTTGAATGTCATGTGTTGTGGGAGGGAATGTGGTGGAGGGGTCTAATGTCTTAACCGTTATGTTGAGTGTAATGGATAGTGAGTGAATGGGGGGGGGGGGGGCTATTTTTCTAGTGTCTTGGCGATGTTGGTTGTCACGAAAATTGATGTGGGGGGGGAGGGGGGTTCTATTGACTTTACCATGAATAAGCATGGTGTTAAATTTCATGCATAGTGGTACATGGTTTTGTTGTTGTTTTTTTTACAGTATATTGACTATGATTAAATGTCGATGTTTTTACCCGGTACTTACACGATACAAAAACTAGTCACCCCTCTCCACTCAATCACTAAGACGACGTCACTAAACTAAGTCGCATTTCATTATCCCCACGCCTTCCTCTTCAGTTTTTATTTTTTCTCAAAGGTTAGGGTTCAAGTGGTGATCAAACCATAGCCGTGATCCTAACCTTGAACCTTCAGTACTTCTAACAACAGTGCGTACGTTAAGAACAAATAGTGGTCTTGATCGCTCAAAGATTTTCAGGTTTAATTACCTGTCATTTCTCGACTTAGGGCTTCATACGATTATTGGTGCTAGAAAAGAAATTGTAAATGTAATTTTGGTTGGGCCTTGAGCTGGCCATACAAACTTAATATATGGTGTGGTCAGCGAAGCAGGTCATTAGTGCCCTACAGGCCTCAGGTCTTGTATAGGTCTAAATTTCAATGCATTATTAGACAGCGGTAGGCAGGAGCTTACTTTAGGAGGAATTTAAACAATCTCCCCATTAATATAAATAGTAGATTCTACATTTCTTGGCCCGTTTATTACTTCTATTTTAGCAGTTAGGGGTCGTCCATAAATGACGTCACGCTTTTTAAAACGATTTTTACCTCCCCCCTCCCCTCCGTCACACGTCGTCACAAAAAGCCAGACCCCCTCCCCCCCTAAAATAACGTCACACCTCAGCCTACAACCCCCCTCAAAATTGCAGTTGAATTTTTTTTTAAACATCGATATATTTCTAAAATCTTGTCTGAACTCAGTCAAAATAGAGTATTTTAATCAATTTCTATTACAATTTATTAAAACAGTTATCTAAAACGCGAAATAACGTCTAAAATTCGCTTTCTAACATTGCTTTTTTATAATGCAAAAGTGTGACGTCGAACCATCTGACCCCTCCCCCTCCCCACACACCGTCACAAAATTACGCCCCCCCCTCCCTCCTTAGAGTGTGACGTCATTGATGGGCGACCCCTTACCAGTTATTATAATATTCTAATTAGTTTTGACTCTTGACTGCGCTGTGTCGAGACAACAGTTCGAACGAACTCGCTTTAACAAAATAAAATGCCCTCTTTTTGGTCAGCCTGCATTACTTGAAATGCAATGTCTGTCTGTATATGCAGATGACGATAACAGAGAGTGGTCATGTCTCGTTGGAAGTAATGAGTCAACAGACGACACCGCAAGACGGCGCTGTGATAGAAATAGCCAAAGAATTATTTCACGTCTCTCCTGATGGAATAAACGTGAGTTTTCAAAATGAATATTTAAATAAGATTAGACCTAGTTGTTTTAAATGTATACATAAATTCTTGACCGATTGCAAATGTTCGACCCGCAACAATCACAACAGAGCTTATTTTAAATTGAGATGGTGGGGGGGGGGGGGGGCGTGAGGGATGGAGGCTCTTATCCCAGCTTGCAAATCTTTGTGCTACCCATTCTGGACAAACCAAATGCGCGGTAAAAAGAATGGCTTTACTACTTTTTATAAGCTGAAGATTCGATGAGTCACACGGGTTGCGCTCTTGTTTATGACTAACAACTAAGGGATGTTTTCATCCAAGAGTAAGAAAATTTCAAGCCTATGCATATAATAATCAACTTTTCTAAAAAGGGTGTGGACTTTCTAGTGATACTATTCGTTAGAACTAACTAATATAGGCCTATTACGTACTGTTGTCAACACTGACCTTTCTTAACAACATGATTTAATAAGTAAAATTACGACAAACAACCTAACACCCCTTAGTTTTTAGACGAGTCCGTTGAAGGAGATCGTTCGAAAGAATATTCATATACGTGTTTTTTTTGTGTTACGTTTCTAAACATACAGAATTATTAACTAACGACATTCAGCATACTAATGAAACGATTGTTTTTGCAAATAAGATTGAAGTGTACCAAAGTTCTGAAGGTGTTGCTGCTATTGATGGTTGCCCGGTACAAAGCCAACCCGCCAAGGTCTACACGTATCCATACATGCCTGAGAAACAGTGGAGAAAGTATCAGCATGCATACAGGTGAGGACACTCCATCTTTGCCAAAAAAAAAAAAGAAGTTATTCAATAAATTATTATGATATTACTCTGTTGTTTTTGGTTTTTGTTACTAGATTCTAGATTTAAATTCATTTTAAAACCTTTTTTTTCAACTGTAAATGTTAACCCATTAAAACTGTTCATAATATTTTTGGTGCAACAAATTAATATTATGTTACAAATAAAAACTGTTTCAGATTTGTTGAAGCAATCAAGTCAAGGACACCAAAAGTTATTCTTGTAACAGAGAGAGCCAAATGTAAACTAATGGAAAACTTACCCTGTGCAGACTTTCAGGCTGTGTTTAATGATGGTACGTACATCTGTTGGTATGAATCTATACTTCTCTGTAGTTATTAATTATATCAGTCAGCATACTGCATTTTGCCACTCCAGTTAGTATATTTTTGGGGAGGATTCTCAAACTATTTTTGTATAAAGTCCCTCTTGTAAGCTATAGATCTTGATGGTTAGTAGGAAGTGAAAAATAAAATGTAAAATCAAATGATGACACGTCAAAAACATTGAAAACATGGATGTTTATGTTGTGCAATCTTCTAAATTGTTATGTACTATACCACACAACCCATCATGTCATTTATTATTTGACTTTCTTTAAATCAGGTTGCCAAATATATTTATTCACCAGTATAGGTTATAATATGTAATTCATCTAGATTAACTTACAGGATTTTAAAAAATTTATTTGTAGGTGTCAGAGTAACCTTGACAGAGTCGAAGATTTCAATAGTGGACAAGGATGGAAGTAGTTTGTCTTTTGATGCAGCACTGGTCAACAACCATGTGAGTTCACAAACAATCGATATTGTGGAGTTCGCTCGAAAGGTTGGTAGACCTACATGATTGTTTACATAACAAATGGCATATATTTTCTCTCATTTATTTCAGTTTTAATATTTTACTACATATTTGAAACTCGTTTCAGTATTAACATTATAGATTATGTGTATTTTATTAATTTTATAGTGCCAAGATCAATTAAAAAATGAGGCGTTCGGTTTGTAATTTTGTGCGTTAAAAATATTTTAGTGCCATGCTCAGTGCCTTGAGATCCAGAAGTCGGTGGTGCTGCTTCAAGCTAGGGATCCGAGTCGGCACCTTTTCCCCATCACAGTGGGAAGGTAAGTTGTGCAAAAACTAGGCGCTCATTTAAAAAAATTGTATATAGCTTATACAATATTTAATAAAGTAACTAGTTTATTCATGGTATAAAAAATATCATACAATTTAAACAGGATTTAAATAGAGGAATTTATTTTTGTTCATGGTTTTACTATTGTGTAAGTGTTTAGTAAGTTAATCAGAAAAATTGGGTTGTCAATCCAGTGTCTTATTTTTTATTTTATATCCAGCACCAGTGCACCTTTCCAGTGGTCTCCTTCACCAAGAGAGGATCACACTTCAGTGACGTCCCCACTTGAAAGACGTGAGTCGGAATATCACAGGACGTTGCCAGATGGTCATCAGCTGACCAGGTCTACCTCCAGCAGTCAGCTAAATGAATATAAGAAACCACTGACAAACAGTGGCTATGATTATAACAATGTGTCAGCTAGTGAAAGCTGTTTGCTGAAATCTGCAAGTGATTGGCACCTTGAACAAAGAAATAACTCAAAACTTTTCTGGCAAGAAAGTTCTGTCAGAAATCTTTCAACAAATGATGGTTTGTGTATAAACTCTTCCACCCAGTGCCAAAATACAAGTGCCCAATGTGAAGGTCACACACAAGCCAAAGATGGACAAATCTGCTACAGCAGTGGGGACAGTAGTTGTAGTTTCAGTTGGTCATCAGATGCTGAAATACTTAACAAATCTGTGCCAGGTAATTGTTGTGAATACGTGCCAAATTCTACTCAAGTGCCAAATTTCAGAAGACATAGTGATCAAATACTGTTTGTGAATGAACAGTCCCACAATTATCAGTACACCCCAGAACATGATCCATCTATGATTTCTGAGGAAAACATTCAAGCAAAGTGCAACACCTTTGAACCAGTGCAGCATAACAATGCTTTATCTAGTAGCTGCTCCACTCCTCAGGTCAGCACACCTGGCAAATCTTATTCCACTGCCTGCCAAAATTGTGGCAATGACTCTTACTGTGGAGAAACACAAAGGAGCCTTGATAATACACCCAATCTCCCATACCTAAATCAAATGCAAGCTAACTTTCAAACACCAAAGAAACCCACCAACTTTCCTCACCCAATGCCGCAATGTTACAGTGTGGATTCTTTAAGACATCGAAAGTTTCGAGAAAGTGAGGATAAGTACAGTCTCACCTTAGGAGCTCTTGTTGATGAAAGGGAGCTAAAACATGTGCGAAAGAATTTATTTTTTGAACCAACATTAGAGGAGCCAACAGCCAAAATTTTACCAATATCCCAGCTTCAGTCTTTCAGACAAGACGCCATGGTCGTCAAACCAACACCATCGTTAGAATTATCTTGTTGTATTGCCGCAAACAATGAAGCTTTTACGCTACAAGAAAACCAACCTGGGACTTCTAAACCAGTTGATGATTCCAACTTAGATAAAAATGGTGCATCTTCTATCTCAGGAAATCAAACTAATTTGAATAATTGGGTAGATGGGATGATTTTTCCAAAATTTTCTTCTTCTCCAGTCAAAAGAGCACCAGTTCGAAAGGTTGCCGGTTTGTCGCCTTATAAACAATCACCCATTACAGTGGAAACATTAAAAGCCTTATCAGACTGTAATGGAAAAATGTTCTTGTATGGAAGTCAAGTAAACAAAGAATCTAGTGGGCAAAATGTTGTGTCATCAAATAATACAAGCTGGCAAAGCTGTCCTGAGCCTGTTTGTGGGAAATCCCCACAAAAAGTTTTCTTGAGGCCATCTTTCAGTCATGACCAGGGTGCTTTGGATCATCAACACCCAATTCGGAACTCCCTGGATATGTCAGTTTCCAGCTATTACAGTGACAGTCCAAGCAGTTCCCCATCCTCTGGCAGTGACCCGATTCGCCAGGTTTTTGTACCATATACTGGTTGGGCATCTTTCTATGCCACTGGAGCTGTGTGGATTCTGTACAATGATGGAACTCAACTAGGCATCAAGTCTGCTGAATCTGTTTTAATCTATGTTGACCAAGATGGCAGCCAAAAAAAGTGAGTTTTTACAATACCTCTTTTTTTTAAAAATCAATTTTGAATCATGTATGTTAAGTTTTTAAAAAATATAATGGTATTATTGCATCTTAATCAACAATAAAGTAATTTTGTAATATAAATAAGTTTATATTATATTTTCAGATATAAAAATACAGATGTGGTTCCAGAGATTGTTCGGATCAAACTAGAAAAGCTTCCGATGATAATTGATATGCTCATGAAAAGTCCACCAATAACAGCTACAAGCGGGACACAGATCTTTTAGAAGTACAAAAGTTTGCACAAAACATTTTACACTCTCAGATTTGGGCTATTTTTTACAATTTAAATTATTGGTTGGTTTGAAACTTGTTTTTTGCTTCAAGTAATGAAGTAAATTTCATATGTGATAACAAACACTTCAATTTTTTTGGAGTGAAATTAACTTTTGACAATTTATAGTCATATTTCCAATGAACTGGTGATTTTAAAGAAATTGTCAATTTTTAAATTAAAGCAATTTATGTGTTACCTGCAGTTTTACTAAGCTTGTTTTATGCTCACAGACTTCCAAATTTGTCTCTTGCTTGGCATTTTATTGAAAAATAATTTATATTTTTAAAAACCTATATTTACTATTATAATTTTAAGTGTCATTAGCACAGATGTATTGAACTATATAAATTTATATTTACAAAAAAAACCAACAATGTAGTGATTTTTATATTTAAATTTTATTTAAATTAAACACTTAAGTATTTTAAAATGATCAAACTTAATCAAACTATTTTCATGATATTACTACTATTGTTATTTTTTCAGCGTTTCCGTCCAAATTATTTATTTAAATATAAACAACTGTATATCTTTATATTATGATTGATAATTATATGAAAAATATTATGGTCAAATAGAACTGTGGTGACTTAGGTGTTTTACATATTGTCTCAGGGATTACAATATAGGCTGTTTTTAAACCAAATAAGGAATTGAATTAGATAAAAGGAGAATCTTAACTTTTTTGCCGCTCTGTTTTTATTTCACCATCTTTGTGTTAGCATATTGAGTTTAAAGTATAAATTCTGAGTAAATGTAAAATGTTTACAAACTTACTTACCTGTATACCACCAACATATGGTATTTTTTAAAAATGAATCTAAATGTCATTAAAGTGGGAAATTTTTTCTTTTTAACTTCTTAAACCAAATAATAGAGAAGTACTAGAATTTATATCTTTTTCTATTTAATATACTTATAAAAAGTATAACTTGAATAAGAAAGTACCATATAAATCCAGATGTTTAATACTCTGAATTCAGACAAAATTAGGACAGCTGCTCATCTGAATGAGTATTTCTATATCAAACACAAATACAAGTTTTTATTAAAATTTTTAGTTTTATGTAAACATTTATTTTTGTAGAGTTATGAAGCATTTGGTTCATAAATAAATACATCCTACTTGTCATTGTACATAACATTTAAATTAATTGATGTGTCAAATTAAAATGTTTTTATACAGGTTAAGAAAAAGAATAGACAAAAGCAATGGACTATAAGTTTAAAGTGAAGCGATGAATTAATATTTATCTTTCCTGTTTTTTCAATCCTTACTTCAACAACACATTTATAAAGTAAAAGATAAGTGTTATTTGATGTAAATTCTTTACTATACCTAAAACATTACTTTTTTGAAGAAGGCTTAGAACCCAAATGTGCTGAGAGGGCATATGAACATGATCTACTTGGCCTAATCCAAGATTTCAGCTTTTAACCATGGTGTGATTAGCTGGGTTTCCATTCCATTTAGTTATTTAAAACACATTAGGACTAAGTTCACAATGATGTTGCCACAGATTATTATTTCTATTTAACTAACAAAACAATAGGAACATTAAGTTGAAATGTTCTAATCTGGACCAACTTTTAAAACTATTTTTAAAAAAAATATATTTCCAATGTGTCAAAACTTTACACTTTGATAGCATCTTTCATTACATGTTGGATATAATATTAAATTAAGTAACTATTATAGCATTGTTGCATTTAATTACTTTTAAAATTTGTGAAAAATAACAAGTCATTATAACTGAGTTTTTTGAAAATAAAATTCTCATTTTATCTTTTATTATTTAAGTAGATGTAGTTTAGATGCAAATTTTATTAAATAGCAAACTTGTACTGATACCATTACTTAACCCCTATAACTAAACATAGAACAAATATTAAATTAGACTTCATTTTTATTTATGTTTATTCTGCTTGATTTTCCCAAGTCAAAACAACATCAATACACATTTGTCAAAGTGTATTAAACAAAAATTTTCAAGCTTTACAAAGCATGTCTCTCATAGGGTACTCAGAAAAAAAGAGCAACAGAAAATTGCACACAAAAAATGCGCATGGAAATTTTATTTTTTAAAATAAATAATTCAAAGTTGTTAGCAAAGTATTGCTGTGTAAAATGCAGCATAATATAACAAATGTCCATTAATATGACCAAATGAACCTATATTAGTGTAATGAGTTTGTATATGCGCTTTTTTCTGTGTGTACAATTTTCAGTTTCGCATATTTCAGCTGCTCTTTTTTTCTGTGAACCATCTTAGAAGACAGTGTTCACTCATGTGGATTTCTTTGATGACTTCATGGATTTAAAAAAAAAAAATTAATTTTGGTTATTACTTAACTTTTACTTGTTTATTTTAAACATTTATTTTCTTTATTCAAGCTATCAAGACAATAAACTGTTTGAAAATATTAAAAATTCTACTAGTTTAGACCTTAATAAAGAGATGCTCAATGTTTCATCAACACAGGGTTTCAAAACTTGTAATTAACAATTACTGGTACTTGTGATAATTATTTTGACTTATTACTTTTGTACATTATACAACTATTTATGCTAAAACAAATTGTATTATAAAACATTTAGGATAATAAATTATATTTTTAAATTTGAGTCTTTTATTTTTCTTTAATTAAACACATTGATCTATGTCTTGTAAGTCCACATTTTGGCAGAAATGGGCCGGTTAACTTTCTACCCACTAATGTCTATCTACTTTTAAAAATTTCTTTAAATGTAGTTTATTCAAAAGGCGAACCTACTGCCAAAATCATTTTTTATCTGCCCAGAAGAGTATGCAATATATCAACATATTTCCATATTTTAGGATTTCATGTAGTAAAATACTAAGAGAATTTCTCTTAGTATTTCATTTAACTAAAGTATCTAAAATTTAACTAGAATATTACAAATGAAAATAAAAAAGTCATCAAACTATTTCATTTTTTTTACCTTTATTAACATTAAATATTGAAATGCATGCAATCGAAGCACCATAAAATCCGAGAGTTGCAGAAAACAGAACAACATTGGGTTGCAATATATAAATTTGTCCTATGTAAACGCATTTAAAAAATTAATGTACAAATTCTATTCTATAAAAAATGTCTTCTAAAGTGAATACTAAGCATCATAAGTGCATGTAAATTAACACAAAATGTTTTAATTAGTTTCATATCCTTTTCTTAGTAAATTTTATTGTTATTTTAATGAAAATTTTCATTGACATATTTATGGTGGTTTCTGACTATTTCAATGCCAACTGACTAACCTTTATAGATATCAAACAATGCCTGCTGTTTTAAATTAGCCTACTAAAAATAGTAGTTTCTATTAATTATTAGAACAATTATTTAAAAAAAGCAATACAAGATGACTTAAACACCCAGGCCTCAAGTTAATCACAATTACTTATTTCCTTTTCTTGTATCATTAAATTTCTAGCACTCCCAAATCAACACACATTCCAGCAAATTAAAAAATATTTTGTCCATAAACAAATATTGACATAATTGAAGAGCTATTTTCCAAAGAGTAAAAAATGAGAAAGATTTGTATCTACATTAGTATGAGTTGATACTGAAAAGTAGTCGAAGATTTTTTGGAATAAACGAGGGTGTGCAAAATGGAGTTATACATGAGGTTGAAGTAACAATTTTGCTAGCTTAAAAAAACAACTGGAAGTTGTAATTCATACATAATTTTTTTAAATCCTCATATTTCAACATTTTAAAAATTTACCTAACAAGTTTTACAAAACTGCTTTTCAATTGTGTAAAATCTTACAGGAACCAAAGTTTAAACAATCTTCCCTTTTTCAAGAAAATGATGGTATTGGTATCAATGGGTGTTTGAAGAATTTTGTACAAAAAAATTTAATGAAACAAAAGCTATTTTATTAGATTAAAAAAATAACTTGAACACAAGAGTTCTAGCTACAAACTGTACAAGAGCTGCCATTGTGGGCTAACAAACAATGGGAAGGCACCATGTCCAATATACAATTATATACAAAATTCACAATAGTGTAACGCAAGTACGTGATGTCACTGCATCACTTGTGAGATAGGCAGTGATAGGCTTTAACAGATCAACAGAATTTGTAGGAACAGAGCTGTAATTAGAGTAACAATTAAAATAAACTTACCTTTTCACTCTATGGTTAAAAGGTTTTCATATCAACTTTTTATTTTAAAATGGGATTTATAAATCATTCAGATTTGGTGTATGGGTCATGGTTTATTAGCTTATAAAAATTTAAAATATTTAATTCAGTACTTGTAAAAAGTTAAATAAAACTGGATAAAAACTGATGAATTGTAGTGTTTTATTTTAAATAACTGACATTAAAAAAAATAAATACTTTTCATTTACAAAAGTTAATTAATATCACAATCAAGACTTGAGAAGCTCAACAAGAAATGTTTCTATAAATGCATTAAAAAAACAGTAACAGTGACCAAAGCATGTTTGTGTGGAGTGTCAAGGGACCGGGGAACCAAGACCTTTCTCATCATGCCTTGTGATGGCCTGTAGCACCAATGGCATCTTGCTGAGCTTAGCTTTCACATGATCAGGCAAATATTCAGACTGGCTGTAACTGCAAGTAAGCAAAAATAATAAGATTAAAGTTCTGTGTGTTAGTGGTTACACAGGATTCGTTAATCCTAGTGGCTTAAGTGGAAACATGAAGAATGTACTGCCCTAGATAAGAATAAAGAGCAAAAATCTACACACATTGAACTATTAACAACGCATCAGGAATCTAGGATGAAGAAGCACAATGAAATAAAACCCAACTAATCCAACAAATTAAAAAAAAATAACAGTTAAAAATAGTCTATAAGCTGAAGATTGAAAATGGACTTTTAAAAATAATTAACAACATCTTGGATCATACACAGGGAACAAGGATTTACCAGGCTTAAAACTAAATAAGTAAATACCCAAACAAGCAAACAGACAATAAGTAAATACATCACTAGATAGTCTAGCATGTGAATACCCCAACTAGCAGACAAACAAGTAAATAGATAGTCTAGCATGTTAATGCCCCAACTATCAAATACCCCAGACAACTAGACCTTAAAAAGTTGATACAACACTTGTATAAAATGGTTGCGAATAATTCTCTATTCACTACCTATTTGCTAATATTAGAATAGTGCTCAAGCACAAAGATATAAATTTCAAGTTTTGTATGAAAGCTTTTAAAACCATGTGAATTAATAGAGATACAACGCTAGTTAAAGTGTTTGAATAAAGTTTTTTATCTTTGACTTTTTTGTGAGATCAAATATTCTGTAATACATGACTAAAAAAATTGTTATGCACAAAAAACTCACTTGAAACTCTTTCCTGTGGTGTCCACATAAACGACATTTTTCGCCGAAGCTTTGATCCCCATCTGTGTACCATCTAGAAACCTGACCCAAATTTCCCCACTGACAGTCTTTGAGGCCCAGCCGATGTCCGGCACAAACAGCTGATACAGCTGTTTGGTGGCGCTGGACGCGGACATGCTGGCTCCACTACTCCCAGATGAGGAGGCCACTGATGATGGGGGCTTGACCCGAGGTCTAGAGGTGCTGTCGCATGTTTGATTGACAGTTGAGTTGAGGATCGTCCCGTCAAAGGTCATCTGCTAGCATTAAAAGAAAATTTAATTAACCACACAGCTAATTCTAAAACAGTATTGAATACATTTTAAAGTCAAATGATTTAAAAAAATCATGTCACATGTTTGCTGATAAAAAGAACAATTAAATTAACTAAGCAGATAATGGTCAAGCAGTATTAAATCAATTTATAAGTTGATGAATTAACAAAATCATACCTCAGGTTTGATCAGTGATATGTTAGTGTTACTACCAGTGGGTGAGCTAACATCACTTGAGGGATCACTGGGATGACTTCTATTTTTTTTCCCAGCAGGACGCCTGTAGAAAAATATTCAAAAACTTTGCATTTGTTACAAGAAAAAAAATTATTTCTAGAGCAAGCCTGACATGATAAATGTGATATTTTACCTGCCAACAATTATAGGGAACAAGTTAAAGCCTAAGTTAGACGACTGGAGAGCTGTTATTGCTTGATCAATCAGAACACACTGCTTATGACACTACATAAAAAAAAAATTGAACATTAGTATAAGAGTAGTTATAAAAGAACAGTATATATTCAAACAGTTATTTAATGAATGAGTAATAAATTGTAATGGTTTATTAGTCTATGACAATTTTTGTGGACTATGATGAAATAAGATCTGACCTGTTTGGCAAACTCTAGTACATGATTAGTCTCAGGACTTAACCTGGGGTTGATTTCAGCAGAGTCAAGGCTAAGGAAAGTTCCATTTCTCTCTATAATCTTGACACCTCTAGAACCAGAGGTAAACTTTGTTCCTGATGGATGTTCAAAGTGAAAAAAAAAAAAATTAGTTTTTGAACACAATCTTTTATATGCATAATAAAGTTGTGGGTAAATGAATATTATAAAGTAATATTTTATAGATCAACACTTAACGTTCATTTGAAATGTTTACATCACATTTTCTATAGTTAAGGAGTACTAAACAAATAAAAACATTAGAACTAACCATCATAAAACTCCACCGTGAAATCCACATTAGTTTCCATTAGAGTGCACTTTGCTAGGTCTGTATACAGTGTGACCTTGTTAGTTTTAGCTCTAACAAGTTTCACAAATCTGGAGGAAAATTTAAAATCTTATAGAAATAGGTGGACTGATGACAGAAACAGTAGCTATACGTGTTCATTAGTCAGGACAGACCATGATCATTTAAATGTAATATGGCCTCAGAAATGATAGTTTAAAAAAAAGAATTCTGGCTATTTTGAAAAAGTATTTACTAATTGCGCATTACATTTTTTAATTTAAAAAAATAAGTAAGAAGGATTAATTGTGTTTATGATCAAAAACTGGTCTGGTCTTTCCCAACTAATTACAACAAGAAGAATATAAAATGTTTGTATTCAAGACTAGTTATGATTTTTCCTATGAATAGTTCAATCATTTTTTAAATAGAAACCTAAAACGACATTAAAATAAACCATTTAACATTTGCAGTAATGCTTATATACTCAACATTCGAAAAATATGTTAACCATTGTTTATTATTTAAATTTCTTCAATTATTGTTATTTATAATTTACATTCTATTACTTTATTAGCTTGAATAGTTGCAATTACCTTTGTGCATATTGATACTTTTCTATGTATCTCTCTGGAAGATTAGACAGTGTGTATGTTTTACATCTATCAGGGGGAGGGGCAGGATTGTCTGAGACAGGCATACCTTTAGTTCCGCCAGGTTTATATACTTTAACCTGCTCAAATGGCAAACAATAAATAAAATATTGTTCATTTTCTGACAGAAGACTACAGCTAACTACAACACACACTTTTATCACATTTTCTAACAGTTAAAGACAAAGATAAGGACAATAAATGAAATAATGTTCACTTTCTGACAGAATAGTACAGCTGACTACAACACACATTTTTAAACAGACATTAAAAGCTAAAGATCTTCTAAAACAAGTCAATCTGGCTGATTTTTATTGCCTAGTTAATTTGAATAAATCATCATAACCACAACACTGATGATAAACTCTAGTGAATGATTTTAGACAGTTAAATAAAAACAGAAAATATTTCTTTAAGCTCTTATTATAAAAAAAAAAAATTCATTGTAATATTGACTAATCAAAACAAGTATTTAAAAATTGCAAAAAAATGGACAGCAAATGGACTTCATTTAATTTAATTTTTAAAAAGTGGATCATTTACCTGTTGCCCTTTATCTGAAATGTATAATACTTCCATGACTAGAGTCTCCTGTCCTTTCTTCTTAATACGTTCTAAGCAAACATCTCCATTAGCCATGATGTGTGACTAAAATAGCAAAAAATACGCAATAAAAAACAGATTACAATATACAACTGCTGAGAAACATACAGCATTAAAACTTTTTGAAACTCACCACAATATTTTTAGACTGCTGGCGAAAGGCACACAGTCTGTCTGTAATGATTGGAGACAGAGGTAGCCTTGTTTCATCTTGGTTCACTCTCTCTACACACTGCTGGACCTCTTTCTCTGTGATCCTGATGCTTTTCTCTTCCACAGCAGGACTGGAAAACTAAATGGTGAAATCAGGTGGTGATTAGTAAAATCTTTAACTAAATTGATAAAATCAAATCTAGCATTTGAACATACACAGTGATCCAAACATTGGTCTCTGGTAAAGTAATTTTATGAATCAACAGCAAATCAAGATGTTTGACAACACACTAGATATTTTCAAACTGTGAAAGAAAATGATTGCCAGTGCCTTAAATTAAACACTAGTGGGATGGCATGGCCTAAGCGGTAGAGCGCTAGGCTGCTAACCCGAGGTCTCGGGTCAAATCCGGGTCCAAGTCAGAAGAACGTCCCTTGCTCTGATGGGTACCTAACTCATGTTAGGGAAAGTAAAGTCGGCGGATCATAGTGCTGACCACATTATCCCTTCATATGTCGAGGTCACAGAGACAGGTGAACCTACTTCACTGGCCCCATAACCATCAGTTTTGAAAGGGAGCTTTACTAAACATCACTTGGTCATAACAGTTTTGTTTCTGATCTCAAATTTTTCAGGGCATCTGACAAGATTGAGATGGCACTGTGGTGACCAAACATTCTTATACTTTAGCTACTAAGCCTTTCACAGTAATACTGTACTAAAGTATCTTTTATGACGCTATACATTTTAAAAAACATGCTCATTTCTCAGTGAGAGATTAGGTGTTGTCAGAGATTAAAATACATAAACTGGATATTGCACAGTAAATTGTATCAGTAAAATCTCAATGCAGAAAACAGAATATTTTGTTCAATGGATGTAAGAACATTAATCTTACTTGAACAGGCTGTCCTTCATGGATATATACAGGTGGTGAAGAGTTCTGAGCTTGCTCACTTTTCCCAGTGTCAGTGACGCACATTTGGCTGAGGTAGTTTTGGACCTTTGAGGTGAACTCCTGAGTCTGAGTGTTTTGCTGATGGTAAGGTCTGTATTCATGCAAGCTGCTGCCTTGAGATTCACAGTCAAAGGTGAGAACTTTTTTGGTGGCATTAAGGCTGAAGTCTGACTCACTCTGCCCCGACAGAACAGAGTCTTGGCTGTGATGTGGTCGATGGGGCCGAGCTGGAGCGATGGGAAGAAGTGGAGGGGGAGGTTGGCCACCACAGCTTCTTTCAGTTGTAATTGAATATATGTTTTCAAGGATTTGAGAAGAGTTTGGCTGATGTGGTTTGTGAGAAAAGGGTTGAGGCTGGTTTCGACTGCTATTGTATGTGTTATTTGAAGTGCTGTATTTTGTTGATGCAATAGTGCCGCGCCCACTGTCCATTGACATATCAGGTATCTGCAATTATGGAAATAAAAATAAAAAAAAAAAAGCTGTATTAAAAGCAGATTACTTTCAAGCACTTAACTTGCATGATATTCTAAATGTTTTCTGAATGCAACACTACAGAAAACCAAATTACCTGTGAGAATTTCTGTGTTGTATTTTTACAGGTCATAAAAGGATGAGCTAGAATCTCTGTTAATGAAAGAAAAAAATATTATAGCAGCTACTTTTTACATTTAAATATAATATTTTCAACAACCCCACAAAAATTTTAAAAAAATAAAATACTTGCTACCAGGAATAAATCAATTGAAATGTCATGACTCAAACTGCATTTAATCTACCTATAATTTAAAAAAAAAATCACAATAAACTAGTTAACCATCTAGCTAACTCCAACCTCTAAGCTGTATCCGATCTTTTGGATTTTTCCGCAGGAGAGCTTGTATGAGATCTTTAGCAGCAGGGCTAATGCCGTCAGGGAAACTGTAGTCTATCTGAACAACAAGCTTGAGGGTGCTCTTAACAGCTTCAGAGTCAAATGGCGCTCTGCCAACTAGAAACGTGTACAGCATGCAGCCTAGAGACCAAACATCTGCCTCCAAGCCATGGGACTGGCGCATGGCAATTTCCCTGAAGAATCAAAACCAAACAAGGTATAAAATTTATACTTTAAATTTAACTCAAATGATTGTTTTAATTTTAAAACAGTATTGACAAATTACACAATCTTAAAAATCACAACAAGCTAACAAAACTTTCTATATTCTGAACATCTTCTGCAGATAGAATTAGATACTTCTCAAAACCTTTAAGTATGAACAAAAATGAGGACACATTTTCCACCAGTATTTTGACATTAAAATAAACTGTCAGATTTTTATGAAGCTAGAAATTTTTGTTCTCCAATAACTACTCACGGTGAAATATAATTTGGTGTCCCGCACATGGTGAAGTGTCTCTCCCCAGGGCTCTGTAGTTGGGTTGCCAATCCAAAGTCTGCAATTTTCTGTAAGTTTTCAAAAAGTCACTCAAATACACAACATGTTGCAGCAATGCTTAATGAGATAACTGGATGTTGCAGCAATGAGATAACTGGTTACTGAAGTTTATTGCTTAGTTAATCTTCGGCGCACTAATGTAATCTTAGTAAATGATAGATAAGAATAAGATAGAATAATCTAGAATTACAACTGACCCGTAACATAAATAAAAGATGAGAATATTAAACTACTACATACCAAATTCATATCTTTAGTCAGTAAAATATTAGATAGGGACAGATCTCTATGAACTATTCCATGGGAGTGAAGGTACATTATTCCTTCAACTATCTGTCGCATAAACTTTCTTGCTTCCTCCTCAGAAAAAGCTGTCCCGTTAGAATGAAGGTAGCGCTGGAGCTCACCGTTATGACACATTTCAAGCACTAGGTATACATAGTTAGCGTCTTCAAAAAAGTTATACAGCTGAAATACAAACAGAACATTTTTTAAAACATGGACAAATTTCTATTATCAATTTACTCTATGTGAATGCTGTTTGGGTGGGCCAAAGAGGTATACAAAAGCAATGTTAATTATTGGTATGCTATACACAAAATTAGCATAAAATAATGTTGACAAGAAACGCTGAAATACAAACAGAACATTTTTTAAAACATGGACAAATTTCTATTATCAATTTACTCTATGTGAATGCTGTTTGGATGGGCCAAAGAGGTATACAAAAGCAATGTTAATTATTGGTATGCTATACACAAAATTAGCATAAAATAATGTTGACAAGAAACGCTGAAATACAAACAGAACATTTTTTAAAACATGGACAAATTTCTATTATCAATTTACTCTATGTGAATGCTGTTTGGATGGGCCAAAGAGGTATACAAAAGCAATGTTAATTATTGGTATGCTATACACAAAATTAGCATAAAATAATGTTGACAAGAAACGCTGAAATACAAACAGAACATTTTTTAAAACATGGACAAATTTCTATTATCAATTTACTCTATGTGAATGCTGTTTGGGTGGGCCAAAGAAGTATACAAAAGCAATGTTAATTATTGGTATGCTATACACAAAATTAGCATCAAATAATGTTGACAAGAAAAGAAAAGTATGAATTATAAAAGTTAAAAGCAAAAACACAGCTATAATTAACATTTTATTTATTTTTTCTTTTTTCAATAGGAAAATAATTTCCATTAGAAAAAATTGTTTGCCAGTTCATACCTCTAATACAGATGGATGCTTGAGTCTGGAATGAATCTCAACCTCTTTTTTAACTCGATTGATGAAGTCTGCTGCTTTCATCTGCTTTTTGTCAATCTAGTAAGCAAAGAAATAAAATCTGTATGATTTGCAATTGTTGGGAAGCTGAAGTAATTTTATAAAGAAATCAGTTTAACGGTTATTATAATTTTTTTTTAAATGTGAAATTGTAGTCACCATTTTAATTGCTACTTCCATTCCAGTTCTAATGGATCGTGCCCTGTAGACACAGGCGAATCCTCCTTTTCCAAGAAGGTTGAGAACTTGGTAGTCCTGAAATACAATACCAAAAAGAGATAAAAGCAATTCCAAAATATAAATATATACTCTGCCATTTACTTCCATAACATAAAAAGATACAATGCTTGAAATTATTTAAAATAAAAAAATTAAAATTTTACAAGAGGATTTCAGAGCACATTAAAATAGGCTTAATAATTATACAGGGCCTACGGCCTAGTATAATGGCCTATTATCCTAAGGTCCTAAGACCTAAAGTCACGCCTAAAGCCCTGCCTAAAGTGACCTAATAATATTAATAGCCTAATAATTAAAACGAAGTGTCTACTCGGAAGAAGATTTTTCTCCCCAACGTCTCCATTTAGTCGGCAAAAGATAGTTCTGCGCATGCGCAGTGACCTATGGCTAGGGTTAGGGCTAGAATGAGGGATAGGGTTAGGGAGGATTAGGGCTAGGGTTAGGGATAGGATTAGGGCTAGGATTAGGGATAGGGTTAAGGATAGGATTAGGGTTGGTGTTAGGGTTCTGCGGTTGTAAACACTCGCATGCGCAGTACCATCGAAAACATTGCAGCTAAGGCAAGTTGTAGTTTCTCTCCATTGCGCATGCGTATCGCATGCGTATCTTATTCCGACTAGAATCTGCCTAATTAAAACTAGTCAGTGACTGACTCAGGGTTTGCACAGTAAACAGTTTGATATATAATAAACATAATTTTTCAGTTTACTATTGACTAGTAGATCTACAAATAATAATTTTATTAATAGTACTATTGAGCAGGCTAGGCCTTCAGTATCAGACACAGTACAGTAACTCTCCAGGCTCCACTAGTCTTCGCCATGATCACAATTTCTTTTATGTTGAATGTACTAAAAAACGTACTTACATCCAAAGATAAGGAATCCTTTTCTTGTTTTAAATAAATGTCCTCTGTCATTTTGTTATTCTAAAATATCCCAACATCTTTGAACCATAAATTTGTAACTAATGTCAACAAGCCATTTTTGTTCAATAACATGTTTAAGCTTGTTTTTATTGATAAGTTACCTCCCCCTGACCAGTCCGACATTTTTTTTTTAATTCTGAAATGATTAAGCTACAATTTACCTCGATTCTCTCCGATAATCCATTCATTTTTGTGTTGAGTGGATTTTTAAAAATTCAATTGTATATTTGTAATATGAATAATACGACTCCTTTATTATACGACAGTGAATAGTGCAGCATTTTCAATACATCGCCACATACAATTTACTTTCAATGCCATATTTTCAAAGAACGCGCCGCATCAAAACAAGTTTAGGACCGCACTAAATAAAATCTATTTTGTAAATAATTTGTAAGATTGATTTTATATAGTTTTAAAATGCTATTTTGCTATTTGAAAATAAAATACAATACAAAGATATTTAAATAACATTTAGCTCATAAAATATTTTGCTGGTCATTATTTATTTTGTCCGGAATATCTCTACGGTGTAAGCCTCGAAATAGTTTCCCTGTTCAATAGGTCGTAATATTTAAGTACAAATAAGGTATTTAAAGCTAAATGCAAAAACAACTTGTTGATTGGATAATAAATGTAAATATAATAACTGGAAAGTCAAATCAAAGATTATGTTTCTCTACTGTGCATCCCCTCTTCATCATAGGGCGGCAGCTGCATCTTGCACCCCCAACCTTATCACACATAAATGTGCGGCTCGGAAAGTTGGCAATTTATTTTTAATGGAAGAAATATGCCCGCCACTCATGGGTGCTGGAGATTCTGTTACAATTGCGTGGCTAATAAAAGCACTACATAGTGGAAAAAAAAGTATATGTCCAATTTTAAATCTATATTCTATGTCTTAATTCGGTCTTTAAAAATGTGTAGATTGTCAGCCAATCAAAGTTTCATGATGAATGGTCGCTCTATGGAGGCAGAAATTCTTGAAATAGCCTTCCTGTGTTGTTGCAAATGGGAAAGACTTTACCTAGAGCCATAAGATCAGTGGACAAAAAGCAAGAACATAAGCTAGTAGCCTTGCGTCATGTAAATTCCCCCTAACAATACATGTACGAAAACGAAGAACCTCTGGAGTTCACTTTCTCATGAGAAAAGCTCAAACTTCACAGTCACCCGAAGCAACAGAGACAAAGGGTTGTCCATATACGACTCCTAACACTCCTAGGGGTAGGGGAGTTTGGACTTAAGATTTAAAAAAATAATGGTACAAACTGATTTGTGTTGCAGTAATTTCGCGGTTTTTGTTTAAATATCTTTCTTAGTAAATTACAATGAAATGTGATCAAAACATCCCGTGTAGGCTATATACTTAGTGACAGTGTTTCTTCCAGACTTTTTTCTCCGGGGGGGGGGGGGGGCACTTGACATTTTCGGGGGGGGGTCAACATTTTCGGGGGGACGGATACTAGTAAAAGTGTATGTTTACTATATAAAACCCATCTCGTTCGGGGGGGGGGGGGGGGGGGGGGCGGTAGACTTTCTTCGGGGCAGAGCCCCCTCTCCCCCCCCCCCCCCCACCGAAGAGATGCCTGGAAGAAACTCTGCTTAGTGATTATTTTTGGGGGATGGGGAATGTAAATCGTTTTATAAAGCGAGATGCACATGTTTGTGTATTGACCCCTAGCATTACCTGGATAAATGCTAACTTTCTTTTAAGCTTTTACTTAACTTTCACCCACTCCCATTGCAAAAGATTCGTTCAAAATTATCTCCAAACATATAAGGCTTACATTCATCTCTGACAACGTATTTAATAACAAAAAGTGGTTACCGCGAGATTAAGTGCTAGCCAAAAGTTTTTTTTTTTTAGTTTTTAAGAATAAACTTTTGAATGCACATACAATTTTTAATAAACCGGGAGTGATCTCCCCTAAACTTTCTCGAACATTCTTTTATGAAACAACAGGGGATGGCAACTCGGGATATAGACATGATTTTAATCCATTTTAAATACTTGAACGTTTTAAAATAGAATAAAATCTCGTAGAAAAAAGAATTGCACAACAAGGGAACGCCAAATAAAATGTGCATAATGGTGCAGGATATTATTAGTACTTAATAAATTCACATTTTTTTAGAAATCGGAAATAGCGAAAATTACTACTTCCAATCAACAGAAATTACTCAAAATTTGATAAAAGGCAGAGAATTAGATCTTTTACTTACACGTGAAATTTCATTTATTTATCTGAAATAGTACTCAAGTTATAGGCTTTTGAAAAATTCAAAGTAGAAAAAGTTCCACTTCCGGTTATCGGAAATCGCTCAAAAGTTGTTACGGATCTACGATTTTGATATAATACTTATATATGAAATTTCATCAACCTAGCTGTAACGGTACTCAAGTTATAGTGTTTACACACACACAGAGAGACATACGGACAAGATTGCAAAACTATGTTTTTCCGACTCAGGGAGCTGTAAAACGTCGAAATTTGCAAAAATCTTGATTTTTAGCGCAATTTCCATTCTGGAGAATTGCGTTTATTAACCCGTCATTTCTGTATGGATGGATGGATAGATGTCCGCAGCTTTAAGTCGTATCTCCTCCTCAACGAAGCAATATCGAGGACTAGTTTCAAAGCAAAAATGTTAAGCAAGTTCCGAGGATGATAGTGGGCCAAAAAATTCCCGGAATTCCTTCCTGGATTTCCCGGAAAAGCCAAAAAACCTCGAAAAAATGCAGTTTTTGGCCCATATCTCGGCAACCAGACCACTTAGCTACTTGAAACATTTACCAATCGATTCCTGTCATAATTTAGAACAATATTGCCGAAGAAAGTTTTCAAAAATATCCTTTCGTTCGGTCACAAAATTTAAAAAAAATTAAATTATACATAATACATTACAGTACTATATAGCAAAATCGGCAAAGGAAGGCGAAGTAGGACGAGGGTAAATCATGTGCTTAGATAGCCGCGGAGTAAGTCGGGTCGCCAACACACTCTACCTTCTTTCAGGCATCTCGCACTTGTATATATATAATATTCAGTGGCGTAGCGAGGTCGGGCGTCACCCGCTGCGGCACTTAATGGTGTCACCCCCCAGAGGCATAGCGACTTTTCCCGGGGTCAAATTTTCGATTTGCACCTCCCTCAAACTTTCGATTTGCACCCCCCCCCCCTCAAATTTTATTTTTCTCTATATATTTTGCTATTTTTGCCTTGGTGTCACCCCCCTGAATGGTGTCACCCGGTGCGGTCCACCCCCCCCCCCCCCGCTTCCCCCTCGCTACGCCTCTGATAATATTTAACTTAGCCCCCCCTCCCCCCACTCCCCCGAGTAAAATGAAGCAGTGAAACAAATCCAGCCCTTAATAAATTTTAGTTTTTGTTAAGCGGTGTATTTTAATGGACAAAGGGAAACAACCGAATTTATTTTTTCAATTATTTTTTTTTTGTCAAATAATATAAGCTTGGTTACTTCCTTTTAGATTTCAAAAGATTTTGGGCTCCGATATGGACCCATTGCGAGCTAATATTTACATTTTATTTACGACAGAAACCTCCCCAGGAGTGTTGTTAACAACTTTCCAAGTTTCATGGCGATCGGAGGAACGGTGAAGTAGTACATAAAAGACCAACCCACAGATACACATACATAAATTCGCTTACACATATAGATCTATAGATATAATAGATAAAACTGGCTCATGAATGTCCATTTCCTTTTCTGCAGGCTTTTCGAGATCCATTCAAATTATGACCAATACCATAAATTATGAAAGTGGGCATTTGTGTCTAACTGTATTCCAGGGGCGTAGCGAGGGGGGCGGGGGGTGCGGACCGCACCGGGTGACACCATTTAGGGGGGTGACACCAAGGCAAAAAAATAGCAAAATATATAGAGAAAAACTTGAGGGGGGGTGCAAATCGAAAGTTTGAGGGGGGGGAGGTGCAAATCGAAAATTTGAAAGTTTGTCCCCGGGAAGGGTCGCTACGCCTCTGGGGGGGGGGGGGGGTGACACCATTAAGTGCCGCACCGGGTGACACCCGACCTCGCTACGCCACTGCTGTCTTCTATAATGGTATTTTACCACGAACTGTCTGTTTTACTTTACAATATAGCCCAATTTCTGTTGCACAAACTTATGATACCTATCTGTAATATCCTCAAAAAATATTTTGAATCATCGCAAAAAACGTGAAGTCGTGTCTGAACGAACTACTACCCCCCCCCCACCCCCCGCCATCAATGAGTCCACTTTGAACGTACCACCTCCCCCCCCCTAGTGGACATCCATGCTAAATATTATGGTTTTTCAAAACTAGCTTCAAAAACATTCCATTCAATAACGAATAGGAAGCAAGCGATAGATCATAAATCTTATTTGTGATATAACACGTTTTATTTTGTGTCGTCCCGTCAGTCATTTGCTCGGTGTACGCTCTTGGGTTTCGTCGACCGCAGAAAATTCGAAGCTCACCAACTAAACTAAATATATGAAGAACACAGACTGTCTTTCTGGTATCTCTCCGGGGGGGGGGGGGGGGGAGGAGGTGTCTTAGCGCCCCCCCCCCTCTCTTTCCGGAGCATGTCCACGGTCTTCTTGGCGAAAAAGAAAAAAAAATTATATTGAAATTTAAAAAAAAAACGTATAGGCTTACTTTAACCATTGTCCCAAAAGTTTCAAGCCCCCCCCCCCCCCCCACACACACACCCTAGTGGAGAAAATATCTGAATGAAACACTGACATGACCAAATGGAAATTTTTCTATTTTGATGTCCCTTAACAGTGTTGAGTCTCTGAATCATAGTACAACCTAGGACCGTACGGTACAACCCTGATGCTTTGATAGCAATGGTACTATCGATAGTCAATAGCCTAATGCCAATTTTATTTATTATTTTGATTTCAGCAACTGCCCAATATCAGTCAACTGGCGATGACATGAAGGTTAGTGCTACAGCACATTTCAACATTTGTAAATATAAAAATCAATTATTTTCATTACACCAACATTACAAACATATTTTTGATAGCTTGGCAGGCGATTTTGGTTATTAAGAACAAGCGTTTAAACTTCAGATCAGCCTTTTAGTAAAGCAGTAAGATCTAGAAGCAAAAGGTGTATATCTATGCAGGAAAGGGAAATAACCGGTTTTTAGCGCAATTTCCATACTGACAATTGCGATTATTAATTCGTTATTTCTGGGTGGATGGATGGATGTGTGTCCGCAGCTTTAAGTCGTATCTCCTCCTCAACGAAGCAATATCGAGGACTAGTTCCAAAAGCAAATATGTTAAGCAAGTTCCGAGGATGATTCTGGGCCAAAAAATTCCCGGAATTCCTTCTTGGATTTCCCGTGAAAGCCAAAAAACCTCGAAAAAATGCAGTTTTTGGCCCACTTAGCGACTTGAAACATTTACCAATCGATTTCTGCCATAATTTAGAACAATATTGCCGAAGAAAGTTTTCAAAAATATCCTTTCGTTCGGTCACAAATTTTAAAAAAAATTACATTATACATAATACACTACAGTTATAAGCTTTCCTGCCGCATCTACGTGGCATATTTTACCGATCACAAGCCGATCGTCATGCAAATCAAGCTTCGTGGAGGATAAAAATTCATTTTTTTGTCAATCTCGTTAATAAATATTTTTTCTATTTTGTTTTGAATTATTAAAACTACTAGTGTTGCATTATTTATTTGCTGAATATATGATTTATCTCGATTTAAAATTGTTATGGATAACTTAAGGAAATTGCGCTTAAATTGTCACTAGACTTTTTATTAACTTGTTTTTTTTAAAGGAGAGTGTTGAGCCAATTAAATAAAAGACAATTTGTTGATTTTATTTTGTACCAATTCAATCAATAATGTTATGTTAAATAGTGGATTGTATCAAATCTGTTAATTCGCAGCATTTTCGGTTATTTGGTGCTTTTTAATGTAAACGGAAAAAAACACAGGCAAAAAGATTACCGAAAAAAAGTATGTTTGTTGCTAGAAAAAAGTCACAAGGAAAACATTTAATTGGGGAAAAAAATTACAGAAATAAAGTTACAGAAAAAAGTAACAAAAATGTTCCGATGGAAATATTTTGATTTACTTCTTGAGAATTGTAAAATTTGGGTGGTGCATTTTTAGTAACATATTTATAAACTTTAAAAAACTTATTGTTAATTTATAATGATAATAACATCACTTTTATCTTCTTAATACATAAACATTTTATACAATAATTTACATATCATCCACAAATTTTGTTCTATTTTTATTTGAATACCCAGTAGAAAAATAATCATAAAAAAAGGTTCGGCACATCATTGTGGGGATGGCGTGGTCTAGCAGTAGAGCGCAGACCGATAACCCGAAAGTCTCGATTTTGAATCAGGGTTTAAGTCCGCAGAACATCCCTGAATTGAGTCCACCTAGCTCTGATGGGTACCCAACTCAAGTTAGGAAAAGGAATGGCTGATGGGCATAGTGCTGACCACATCAAGGAAGTCGCTTAGGTCGGGTGTTACCCGGTGCGGCACTTTGTGGTGTCACAACCCAAAAGAAACAAAGTATATATATATATATATATATATATATATATATATATATATATATATATATATATATATATATATATATATGTGTATGCATGTGTCGGTAGGCCTATACATAGGTCTATATTTAAATATATGCCACATACGCGTACATGTATGTTTATAAGCTTTAGATACTGCCGACTTAATAGTAACGATGTTGTAGGATGTTGCATTATTTTCTCTAAAGTTAGCACGTTCACATCATGGTGTCACCCCACCCACTTGTAATAATTATCGATTTGTACTTAAAAGACTAGTTAACTTTCATTAATCATTAATGGAACTGGCAAAAAAAGCAGTTTTCTTCTTTACATTTTGCAACTTTTTGCCATGGTGTCATCTGGTGCGGCCCGCACCCCCGCCCCGCCCTCGCCACGCCTCTGGACCACATCATCCCTTCACATGCAGAGGTCAAGAAATAAATGAATCTACTTCATATGTCTAATGGATCGCTGGGTCTAAAGTCTGTACTTTATTGTGTTTTGTATGCCTTTTGACGTAGGCCTTTCCTCGGTCGGCCACCTCGTGCATTGTTGACTTTCTTTTCTAATGTCGGCTTTTTTTTCCAAACCTATGTTTTATTATGTAATGAGCGAGGTAGATCTAAATGTGGTCTGTAAAGGTGGTTAAACTATTGTTCCGATAAGTTGAGGATAGCAAATAATATTAAATAGAATCTATATCTTCCTGCAGTTTCACGCTAATTTTAAAGAAGCATTTTTAAAAAACACGGTGGAAAGAAGCATTTTTTTTAAACAAGATGGAAACAAACTGAGTAAGTTGGAACATTTTTATTACATTCTACTTAACTCAATTAAATATTATAATGGAATTCAAACGATATGAATATAACTTGTGCGCGCGCACACACACACACACATATAATGATTATATTGAATTTAATTAATTGTATGTTAATTTTTCACTTTCTGAATAATTGATACACAAAAGTATCAACAAACTCCATGCAAATACACTTTGTGATTTCTTTTTTTACACTGACTTTATTTCCTGTGACTTATTTCCTGTGACTTTTTTCTGAGACTTTTTTCTTGTGAGTTTTTTTCTTGTGAGTTTTTTTTTCTGTGACTTTTTTCCTATACATTTTTATTTTACGATTACATTTTTAAATTTTATCACATTAGGCCTATTAGATTCTAGCAGTTCACTCCGATCACTCGGATCTAGATCTATATGTAAATCTAGCCTTATGTGTTGCTTCTGGAAAATTCATTTTAATAGGAACTTTTATTCCGGAATAAAAAATTAGAATTACACCGATCACACATTAATGAAGGCGTTGTGCTGATCCTACCGTTCACGCGTGTTCTAGAAATTTCACACACATAGTTTATTAGCACATCGCTCTTTTACACCGGCAGATTACCAAACGCGACTTAACGAAAGTTAACAACCAATTTTCGACTTTGTCAATCAGTATTCACATAAGATTTTTACATTACAAGGTGAGTATTTATTATTTAGTCTACGCAATTTATGCGTTGAACAAACCGTTTTTGTTTAGTTTTAGTGGGTTTTATTCTCTTTGTAGGCCTATTTAATTTAATTTTAATAATTTAATTTTTATTGCGTTGTCAGTCTTCACTTCTTTTCAGGCATGCTGGAGAGTGGAGACGACATTCAGTGTTCAGTTCACTGATCTAGATCTAGAGATCTCTAATTCTAATAATATGGTGATAAATAAACTGATAGCTAAACTTAAACTAACTTCTAGATTACAGCTGAGGGCAAATCTAGATCTAGTCTAGATAGGTAGATCTAGCTAGAGAGTCTAGAGTAGAGAGTTACAAATGACATATTAGTGTTGACTACTGTTGACTCACCATCTGAAGTTGAAGGCAATGAAGGGACATCGAGCTATCCATTTGCAGTATTTGCTGGTAGCATAGATAGAGTTTAGAGTAGACTTGGTCTATTGGAGTACTTACTTGGGGAAATTTCTTGTATACCAGTGTCCGATGATAGAATCTTCTTCGAAAAGGGGTGTTACATTACTGGTATTTGATGTCAATGCTTACCATAACCCCAACCCTAGTCTTACTATGTGCTAGGACTGGCTAGGAGCCTAACACCTAAAACTAATTTCTATCAATAGAACTAGACAAGATTACAATACTACAACAACCTAACACACCTAATTTCAGAAGAGTCTTTTATCAGACATAAATAATGCTATCTACTACAATCATCCAATATTAAACTATAGAGAGTCAATGGAAGTTTTTACTTTTATTACTTTTAAATTATGAGACTACACTATTACTAGAGAGATGAATGACCCCCTTAACTTTTATTGGTGGAGTGTACATTTTTTGCTAACATTGTACTACCCTAGACTAGCACATACTCTTGGTCTTTATTTTATAGTTTTTATTCATATTTATTGGGTAGTAAGTTACCAGTTATTGTTACCCGTATATCCCAATTCTAACCTAAAACTTCAGTGAGAATAAATAATACAATACATACCCACCTATATACAGATTGTGAAATAGTACTCTCCACGGTTTAACTCTGGTAACAGGCCTCACCATCATCATAGCCCTGACCTAATAGTTCTACCAGCAAAATAATATTAAAAAAACGATGTGTTGTCCTGCTGCTATTTTTTTAAGAGTCCTCAATAAGAAAAAGTACAAGCTAACCTAGGAAATGCCAGATCTTTTACTTAATCATCACTAGTTAATAGTTAGGCTAAATCATTCATGTTATCCTCTCTTTTAAACAAACCAGTTGTAATTTCAATTTATCCAAATCCTTAAAACAATCTGTACTAAATAGTTTGAATTTATTAGCTTTGTTGATAAGGCATTGTGTAATGTAGGCTAATTTATTTGGCCTACTTTTAGTAGTGGATGTTTAGCAAGTTAAAAAATGATAGTGAATGATTGATACCTACAATCTCTTAGTGGCATGAGTAATAATTTATCATGTACATGCCAATAAGAAATTCATACTGGTTACAATGCTGTAATATTAAAATTATGTTTAATTGTTATGTTAACAAAACTAATGAATTCGTTTAATTTTCTATTTTAGAATAAAATATTGAGTAAAAAATGTCTGTGGTCGGTATAGACCTTGGTACCTATTCCTGCTATATAGGAGTAGCACGAGCTGGTGGCATTGAAACTATTGCAAATGAATACAGTGACAGATGTACACCGTAAGTAACTTACAATTTTGTACATGTGATCCACATTTTTACATCAGCATGAACTGGGAACATTATTTCAAGCAACCACCATTTTTGTTCTCACAAACTATTATTAGCCTTTATTAATTTAATATTTTCTTCTAGGTCTTATGTTTCACTTGGGGATAAAAGCAGAGTAATTGGTGTAGCTGCCAAGCAACAGGCTGTTACAAACTTCAAAAATACTGCCTGTGGCTTTAAGAGAGTTTTGGGTCGCAAGTTTGACGATCCTTTAGTACAGTCAGAATTGCAGAAAAGCTTCAAGCCTAATGAGTTATCAAAAGATAGTAATGGAAATGTTGTATTTCAGGTTTGTATTTTTAATCATTTTTAATACATTATCTTAAGCTATAATAGTTTCATGAAATCATTATGTATAACTAGTTTAGATGCTTATGTTTTTCTAACCATGCAGTTTGTCTTAAGTTTGCATAAAATTTAAGATTGTTTACTTCTTTGTTAAGATTAAAAAATCATCTCCAACTGTATCCTCTTCTTGCAATAATAAATGTGATATATTTTTTCTCTTCTTAGATGTCGTATCTGGGTAAAAACCATGAATTTTCAGCAACCCAATTGACTAGTATGCTCCTGAACAAACTCAAGTTTACTGCTGAGAGCAACCTCAAGACCAAAGTTGTGGATGTTGTTGTCTCTGTAAGTCTCAATTTTTTAAAGATGTATCGCTTTTATATCTATAAAATTAACTTTTCCATAAGATTACAGTTTTTTTCCCCAATGAAATGAAAATAAAGCTATGAGATCTAAAAATGTTCTTTACAATGTATTTCAGGTTCCTGTATTCTTTACTGATGTTGAGAGGAGAGCATTATTAGATGCCTGTCAGCTTGCTGGACTGAACTGTCTGAGAATTCTTAATGACACTACAGCTGGTAAAATTTTTGTATTTAATGTACTAATTTTGTTTCAGTAAAATACCCAGCTTCAATTTTAAAATATATCAGTTTCGTATTTTTTATTGAATTTTTTTTCCTTAATTGTGTAAACCATTTATTTTTCAGTTGCCCTTTCATATGGTATTTACAAGACAGACCTTCCAGCTGAAACAGAGAAGCCTCGGAATGTTGTGTTTGTAGACTTTGGGCATTCATCTCTTCAAGTCTCTGCATGTGCATTCAACAAAGGAAAACTAAAGGTCTTTCATCTTCATATTTTTTTGTGGCAGCCAGTCTTCATTTATGTTACTATACTTAAATTTTCTTCTAATTTCTGATAATGAAATAAGTCATGAGAACTTTTATAAATCAATATAAAGTACGAGCCGACCCGCTGTGTATCATACGCCGCTATTTAGTTGTTTTTTCTACTTTTCAGTAATTCATAATGTGTGAATTCGACAGTACCAATGCTGCCACGGAAAATATTTGCTTTAAAACACTAAACCCCTATTCCCCCCCCCCCCCCCCCCGCGAAAGCAGCCTCCTCTTAGTTACCTCCTCTAAGCTTAAAATAGTTTCAAACTGAATTATCTGCCCCTAATAGCCGTCACCAAACTAAACATTTAGCGTGAACTATAACTCACCTGACCATGTGAGGGGGGGGAGAGGTGGTAGCGATAGAGAGGAAGAGAGGGGACTGCAAGGCGCGTGCTTGCAGCTTGTTTTCTAACGGCTCCCAGAAGAGAATTATATATATATAGATGATTTATTTTCATCATGTATTTTAGTTTTCTTATTAGTATTTTATTACATGTGTAAAAAGGCTAGAACTAGGGATTGATTTTAAAATTTTTTTTTAACCCAGGTATTGGCCACATCGTTTGACCATGCAGTGGGAGGAAAAGATTTAGACGAGCTGATTGTTGATTACATGAGTGAGGAGTTTAAGAAAAAGTACAAGGTTGACCCCAAATCAAAGGCCAAAGCTTACATAAGGCTGACCCAAGAGTGTGAGAAGTTGAAGAAGCTGATGAGTGCAAATGTCCAGCCCATCCCACTCAACATTGAATGTTTTATGGATGATAAAGATGTTCATGGTAGCATGGACAGGTATGTTTATGTTTAACTTCCCTACTCTAATATGCATCTTTTGATAAGTAATGTAATACTTGAAAAAACCTGTTTAAAATAATTAAGAAATGTATGAATGGACAATGTTATGGTTATTAAGTTCTTATCTCATTTTGCATGTTTCATTTTTTTACCATCAGGGCACAATTTGAGGAATTGGCTGCACCTTTGTTCCAGAGAATAGAAAACACACTGCAAGCTGTCCTTGACAATGCTAGTAAGTTCAAATATTGTTTTCTGGTAATCATCATGGACTAGTTAGCTGCACTGCTTCCTGTTAGGTTTCAAACTTTATTCCATTACGAAAGAGTTAAATTTACCCTAGTCACATCATTTCAAAAAGAGCCATAATATATTTTATGCAAAGCAACAATATTAAAACTTAACCTTTTGATTTTTCAGAACTTAAACCATCAGATGTAGCTTCAGTTGAAATCATTGGTGGGGCCTCCAGAGTGCCAGCTTTCAAAGCTTTGGTCCAAAAAGTTTTCAGCAAGGAACCCAGCACAACACTGAATGCTGATGAAGCTGTGGCTCGTGGCTGTGCCCTAATGGTGAGTTGTTACCCTTGTCTGTAGTGGTGGTTGTATGCTCTGATAGTGAGTTGTTACCCTTGTCTGTAGTGGTGGTTGTATGCTCTGATAGTGAGTTGTGGGCCTTGTAAGCAGTGGTTGTTGGCATTGTCAGTAGTGGGTGCATGCCACGATGATGATTTATTACCCTAGTCAATTGTGGTTGTATGCTCTGATAGTGAGTTGCTGGCCTTGTCAGCAGTGGTTGTATGCTCTGATATTGAGTTGTTGGCCTTGTCAGCTGTGGTTGTATGCTCTGATAGTGAGTTGTTGGCCTTGTCAGCTGTGGTTGTACGCTCTGATAGTGAGTTGTTGGCCTTGCCAGCAATAAAGCTGTGCCTTGATGGCAACTTGTTTGCCTTGTTAGCAGTGGTTGAAAGAACCATTGGGATCATGTCACTAACAAGATGTTTTTTTTTCAACAGTGTGCAATCTTGTCACCAACATTTAGAGTGAGAGATTTCAATATCACAGACTGTCAACCCTTTCCTGTCACTTTATACTGGCAACCACAGGGTCAGATGGATGAGGATAGGTAGGTTATTTGAAGTTACATATGATGTTGATGTGTGGCATTTAAGTTAGCTTATCAACTTTTCCAACTAAACATTTTTATTCCACAACTTGTTCACAGTTCCCTGGAAGTGTTTTCAAAGTTTCATGCCGTTCCCTTCTCCAAGATGCTAACATTTTATAGAAAGGAGCCATTTACTTTGACTGCAACTTATTCTAATCACAGTGGCATTCCATATCCTAATTCTGAAATTGGTGAGTAATTTGTTGTTCATGTTTAGTTACAAATGTTTAGTATTTTTGATAATGCAGACAGCAGGCCTTATTGAAGCTATAATTCTTGCAGGGAATGCTGTCAAAGAAACTTACAATACTGCCCTGTCCTAGCATTTTTAAAAGTAACAAATGATTATAAAAATTTAATTAATTAATGTGTACAATGTGGTAAATCATGATTGTTTACTTCCCCAGGAGTGTTTAAAATAAACAATGTCTCCTCACAAGCCAATGGTGACAGCTCTAAAGTGAAAGTTAAAGTCCGAATAAATGCCCATGGCTTATTTAATGTTGTGTCTGCTAGCATGTATGAGAAGCTGGATGGTACAGAGGATGGGGATGAGGTTAAAGACAGCATGGAGGTGGATGAAGATGCTAAAAAGAAAGAAGCCAACAACGGTGATGCTGTGGTTAATGGAGAGCAGGTGAGTTAAAGTAGACCTGCATCAGTGTACAACATTTTGTGTGTGTGGGTTGTTCACAGGTTGTTTGTTCACGCGATGTTGATAAGGTTTTTGACTAATATAAATCTGAATGAGTAGTTCAGCATTATATGTATTTTTCTTGCTATAGAGCCCAACTGAAATGGACCAATCATCTTCAAGTGAACAGCAAAATGTTGAGGAAAATCAAGAACAAACACAAGAGAAAGCAGCTGATACTCCCAATTCTGTGAGTATTTCATTACATGCTATCCAAGCATTAATTCATACCTTTGTTGAATAAACATTTAAGTTGGTAGATTCTACATATGGCTGGATTACCTTGGTTCTGTCATCACTGTTCACGATTATTTTTTCATAAATTTCTTCAAGTTTTTAAACTGTTAAATGTAATCACATTCATTTAACATTTTACCATACACCAGCAACACTTGAGTTTGTTTGGTTTTTCATAAGTTGTCTTTTGAAAACTAATGACATCAGTAGAAAGGGCATTTGTATATCCATTCCCTTGTGATTTATCTTGCATTTCTACTAGCCAGGAGAAGCTAAGTATTGTAGGAGGATGAATGGCTCCTATAGGCCAAAGAGGATTAAAAACAAAGTGGAAAATGCAGAGTACCACTCTCTCCACAGAGGCCTCATGGGATACAAGGAGAAAATTAGGCAGAGAAACTGTCTTAAAAACTTAAACTTTATTCTTCAGGATGTTGCTGATAAGAAAGCACCCAAAAAGACCAAGAAGACAGTGAAAACAATTGATCTCCCCATTGACGCTAATGTGTTCCAGCTGTCTAAAGAAGTCATCAATAGACTGATGGAACAAGAAGTAAGTTTTTTTTTTAAATTCAGGAAATGAAAAAAAAAAAAAAAAGATGAAAATCATTGTATGAGATAGACTTCCAAATTGTTAATTTTAATGGACTGGTGAGTTCAGTATTTTGTAATTTTATGCAATTTATTTTCTTCCAAAATCTGTCCTAAGGCTACACCACGGCCTTCTTATCAAATAAACATTTTTATAGCATTTTATTTGAGAGAATTTCTAGTGATAGTGAAATGAAATGCAGAGAAATGTTTCAGTTCTTAAAAATTAATGCGCATGAAAATGATAATAATTTTTTTCTCATCCATCCGCCAAAAACAATCACATATTTAAACAATGTGGTGTTTCTTTGTTTGCAGAATGATATGGTAATGCAAGATAAACATGAAAAAGAAAGGGCAGATTCCAAAAATGCTGTTGAGGAATATGTTTATGAGATGAGAGACAAGCTGTATGCTGTTTATGAAAACTACATTACAGAAGATGTAAGTAGTTTGACATGTTCCATCAAATTTTATTTGGCCTATATAATTTTATTTAAAGATTTAATTATATGAGATAGAACAGTGTAAGATGGCATTTAAATTGTTCAATCCTAATGTTGCACAGGACCGCAGTCAATTTTCCCTCAAACTAGAAGACACAGAAAACTGGTTGTATGAAGATGGGGAAGATCAAAACAAACAAGTCTACTTAGACAAACTAGCAGAACTCAAAGTATGTATTGTAGTTATTTATACATGTTAATTATTTTGTTATGTTATTTACTATAGTTTATTGGTTATGCTATTTATCTTCCATATTTTCTCTACCTCACATGTAAGAAAATCTTTGTTTTTAATTATTACTAATAAGCTGATGACAAATGTCTATTCAATTTGCTTGTTTGTTAACGAAGTATTATTGAATTGGTTAATTGATATGACAAATGGATATCTTGCGTTCATCTGTGCTCTTCTTGATAAACATGAAACAGATTTGGTTAAACTAAGCTGAGTAAATTGTATAAGCAATAAAATGTTTAGTCACTTAGCGACAGTTTTAAAACTGATATTTTGTATCTTTCAGAAACTTGGTCAGCCTGTGGTTGACAGGTATAGAGAAGCCCAGGAGTGGCCTGTTGCCAAGGATGAAATGGGTTCTACGTTACAACAGATCAGAAAATTTTTAGACCAGTGGGCACAGAAAGTAAGTTGTTTATTCTTACCTTCTGAATGTAAACAACTAGTTTTCATTTTGGAAACATTTCAATTATAAAATTATTTAAAGTTGATTTTTTAACAATTCATAGATTTTTAAAAATAAACTTGTGATTGAATAATGAAATAGCTGGTGAATAGAACTTTTTGGTCTCCCTAGTAGGATGCATTACAAGTATATAATCTGTAATGTTATTATTTCTTTGATACATTTTTTTTTTTTTAATTGCAAGTTGTTTAATCTTAATGAAGCTTGTAACTAGAAAGACTAGTCGCTTCCTCATGTAGAAATTTTAGGCATCTGAAATTATTTTTGAATGTTTGCAGGATGAAAAATATGACCACATTGAGAAGGCAGATGTAGACAAAGTAGAGAAGCTTTGGACAGAAAAATCAAACTGGTTTGGTCACCGCATCACACAGATGGCTCAGCTTAAGCCTCATGAAAACCCCGTTGTTTTAGCAGCACAAGTTCGGGCAGAAAAACAGGTTTGATTTTTTTTTTTAAATAATTTCTGTACAACTTTTAACACACTATGATTAGATTTCTCTTCTGGGTCCAGAAATAGAAAGTGTACCAATATTTTACATCAGGAGATCAGTAATTAATGTGTGCAAGCAACATAAATTGTTTAATGTTTGTCGAACTTAATATTTCTTGTTTTAGGAATTTCATAAGTGTTTAATTTAATCTATCTTAGTAAAAAACATCTAGTTTGCCATTAAAAATTGTATTTTAAAGATTTATTTCTCACTGTAAACAAGCCTCCATAATTTAATTTAAACAATTTTTGTGAATCAGATATTGGAAAACACGTGTCTGCCCATAATGAACAAACCCAAACCTAAAGTGGATCCACCCAAAGAAGAGAAGAAACCCAAAGATAAGAGTGGGAACAAGTCTGACGGAGATCAAAACAACAGTGAGGGTGACCAGCAACAGCCAGCCACAACAGCAACTGATGGGCCTAAAGAGCCAGAGCAGGAGATGGATATAGACTAGCCTCGCTAGTTACAAGAAGAAAGAAAAAAACTTTGATAGAATCAGCTGTTTATCCAGTCTTTATTTAAAACTAGACCAGATACTGGTTTCATTTATGCTGTATTTAAATGTTTGTACAATACATGAAGTGGTGTGAATAGATGAATGTGAAAAAGTAAGTCTTCTGAGAAAAGGGACCAGGATTTGTATTCATTTGTACAGGTGGTTTATCCCTTTTCAGAGAACACATATCAATCCTGAGGTAGTGTTGAAATCTAAGCTTTCAGTTTGTCAAGAATCTCAAGATCTTTTTCCTGGCCATCCAATATGAAATAAGAACTACGTAGTCTGTTGCTATCTGGAAACTAGGCACTACTAATTATCTATTTTTGAAACTATTTCACTTTATCATTAATAACATTAACTTCTACAATTTTTAAAAACCGAAATACAGGATTGAATATTTTGAAGTTATTTTCTACAGTAATATGTTGTATTGACTGAGCTTATTGTCTACTTGGAAATGCTGCATGCACAGTTTGGATTTGTGTTGCGCTGTGCTACTGTATGAATTGTATTGGAATACTACATTTATAGTACTGTTATTTATTTGACTTTGTTTTAAATGAATTTTTAATACTTATTTAAAAAGTAAAAAAAAACCTCTAGTTCCTATTTGTAAGCATTTTATTTAAGTTGACAAATTGAATACAATTAGTAATTAAGAGGATTTAATGGTTCACATCCCATCTGTACAGCTTGGCCAGGCTTGTCTAAGTAGTCTACGTGTATGAAGGTTAAAAATGTAGTAACAACAGATTTAGTTGTGACATCATAACAATATTTAGTTATGGAGTGTTAAGATTTTGAGATCCGGTGAACAGTCATAGGCACTTATTTTTCCACAAGGTACCAATAGATGATCATTGTTATTTTAAATTAGAATTTCATTAATGTGTAAGTATTTGCTAATATATTATTGCAGTATATAGGGTTTTGGAAGCTTGCATGTAAAGACAAAATTATAGTGTAGCTAATAAGGCTTTAGCTAAAAATATAACCTTTCAGTGTTATGCAGTAGGTGCCATACGATAAACGTTTATTCTTTATTTCTTCTAGGTGTGCAGTTATTTTCTGCCCTGTTCACATTTTTGGTATAGTGTCAGAAATATATGGTTTAGTTTAAAATACCTGTGTTTAATGCAGATTAATTTCCCTTGCTCTTATACTGTTGCATTTATTTTTTTCAACACTGTCTCTCTAGGCATTAAACTTTAACCAGACAAGATTACATACAAATGTTTAGTGTTTTGATTCTAATAATTTAGATAAGAGGTGCAACATATGATCTTGGTAAGAATCACCTTGTGTAAATAATTGTCTTAATCGCAGGCATTGATATGTTTATATAGCACAGCTCAGGACGTTGTATTAATTGCTTACAGTTCACGTCTCAGTAAACAGTTCATTTTTTTCATTAAAAAAAAATCAATCCTCTTTGGTAATTATTTAACTATTTTTTCTACTTGATTGTGTCATTGTTTAAAAAAACTTGTTACACCATTTATTTTGATTTCTGGTCTACTGTTTTATATTTTCCATTCCGTGTGTGTCAAGAAAGAAAACTCATTTTTGTTTTTAAGTGCAAAATGTTTTTTAAAAAAATGACAATATTGAAATGCTTGAATAAATATGTGCAGTCTAGATCTAGCTCTTCTATTGACCCTTTGAACCACAAGCATTTAATGGTCATTTGATTGTGGCTAAAAAAAATTAAACTTAGGTTCCTTCGCCCATCTCCCTTAAGTTTTATTACAAATATCTGACAGCAAATGTTATCAATTTTTCTCTAAGTATTGTTTAAAGTAACTTTAATTGTCAGGTTCAAAGGGTTAATAGTATATATTATTGGATACATATTTAAATTAATTAGTCAACTGACCCAAAAAAATGTTTTATTATCAGTATTTGTTAAAAAGGTGGTAGTTAACAGGCTTAAATTATATAAAATCTGGTTAAAAAATGTTAAAATTCTGTTTAGAATAATGGTCTTGTTTTTTTTTTTTTTTTGGCAATGTGGTCTGTCCTGGTCTCAATACATTTGTTAAAACAAAGTTTGTGAAAAGTCTAAAGCATTAGTACATTTAGAATGTTCAATTTTAGGTTGTTAATTTGATTAAAATTGTTCTAGAACATTTGTATGAAAAAATTAAAAGTAACCAAATTTCAGTATTTTGTTTGTCATTTTGTTCATCTGTTTCAAATACTACCTTCTTCCAGTCAGGAAAATGTAACCTTTTTTTTTTAAAAAGTGCTCCAAAAATTATTTTTTTTACAAATAAATTTTGTAAATTCTATTGCTCATCTTGTGATGTTTGGTATATTTGTCATAAGTATTCAGAGCAACAATTGTTGATCAAATGCTTTTCAGATATCCTATTAGGTGACTGGTCCATTGATTTGGTTATCTGAATATAGTCTTTAGGTTTGTGTATGTCAAGGTAAGGTATAACTACATCAGCTGTGTAAGCCACATCCATTGTGGAAATTACATCCCCTAAGGAAAGCACATCAGCTGTATAATTGTAAACCACATCTAAGGTAGAAACCACATCAGCGGGGTTAACCACGTCAGTTGAGAAACCATATTAGCTGTGGAAGCCACATGGGCTGTGTAAACTAAGGCAGCTGTAGAAACAACTGGCTGTACACCAGTTCACATCTTGATTCAGGAATGTTATACCTGGTTACCTCCCTGTAATGTTTACTTAATTGTGTCAAGGTATACCAGTACCTGGTAGTGCTTACAAATCAGGGCAAGAAAAAAATCAATTGATAAATACTAAAGTAGGTGCCCTGATGTTTGTGACAGTGCTATCAATCAAGAGATTAGTCCCTTTAACACACATTGCTTTTGGACCACTTGTGTATACAGCCTATCTACAGCATAGATTAGGGGGTGATAAACAGTTGGAACACTGTGTACAAGGCAAATGTCAAGAGGTCATTAGAATCTGAAAGGTCACATGCTTAAATGTGAGGGGGTGGTTACTCAAGTAAACAAACCAACTAAAGTCAAATGGAAATTGCAACAACAAAAAAAAATTGGCAAAAAAAAAAGGAATCCGGAAAGAATTTTAAGAATGTTAAGTTTATTACTTTAGTTGATAACAGTAGTGAAATCACCAGGACAGAAGTACACCATTTCATGATTTAATCAGGGCAGTCCAACCTGTTAATGACCGCAGGTTGGACCCCCCTGATCTGTTCTACTTGATGATGATGGAATGATAATGAAAGACTCATTCACTAATTAGCACAAATTTATAATCATACATTTATCTGTAGAATTAATAGAAATGGTGTAAATAAACAGTCGCCCCAACAAACAGTAGCATTGTGGTGTGGACTAGAGAGCAATTTTTAAGAGTAAATGCCTTTTTAAAAAAATAATACAGAAGCAGCTATATGTTATTTTATATCAAATGTATACAACAACAATTTTTAAAAAATTGCAAATATTTTACTTTGGAAAATTCAATACTCTATAGTCAATAAGTCAGATAATATTATTTGACTGCTTTTTACTGTAATTAAAGAAATTTTGGTTATCTAAATTAAACAAATTATAGTTTTATTTTCTATTTATTAGCTGCTGCAGGCTATTAGTATGAAAACAACATATCTGAATTAGAAAGTTATGTAAAACAGTTGTCTGATAATTTCATACACACGACTAACATTCTAGCATTTTGTAGACTGCAGTTACCATTCCAGTTTTCAACACAAAACACAATGACAGAACTTACTTTAAAGTTGACACTGGCTAATTTGTATAAAGCTTGGTCAATTATTATATGAAATGGATCCAGCTTATCTATTTACATAAGTATTTACCTTTCCTACCTAGGCTGATAATCATAGTTCTAAACCAATGTCCCTTTCTAAGATATGGTTTTCACTCCTAGTTAATCTTTAACAATTAAAGCTTAATCAAAATTTGCCTATATTCTGTAGACTTGTTAAAGTTTATATGAACTATCCTAGAGTATTAGCATCAAATAAAGATGAAATTGTTAACTTTAAATAAACAATTGCTTGCAGAAACTATTTGATTTTCTGAATTTTGGTTATATACTTAGTCTTCCTAAAAAGAAATTTTATTTAGTTTAAACTGTGATTATCACCCCAGTGATAAAAAAAGGTGTACATTCTGTTATTATCATGAGGATAGATTTGGTGAACAGCATCTCGAAAGCTGTTACGCAATGCTAATACAAATGACAAGAAAACAATATACATGCACATATCACACATTATCATCTCTTTAATTACAAATAAGGAATTCCAGAAAATGTGTTCAATTTCAGTAATTTTATTATCTCAATTTTTGGTTGGTATTTTTATATAAATTAAATTGCTTATTCCCAGATTTTTTCATTAACGTAGTCAAACCAAAAAAAAATCAGCTGATATGTTACAACAAAAGACCTTGATAAATCCCAACTTGACACTGTAGTTTACCATGCCATTAGGAAAATTTAATGACAAGACAGTGTTCATATATATTTTCAAATTATTTCAAATTACAGAATCACACAACTTTACACCACCATCTCAAGCACCTATTGTGAATAAGACAAGTTATATACAAACAATCAATTTTTCGACAAGACAAGCAGATTACAAATAGACAGAAAACAAACTATTTAGTGACACATGATCCCAAACATTCAATTTTTTAAGACAAGACAATCAGCTTATAAACATGATAGAGAACAAATTATTTAGTCACATATGATCCCAAACATTCAATTTTTCAAGACAAGCAGCTTATAAACATGACAAACTTTTAAGCCACACAAATGATCCCAAACATTCAAATTTGACAACACAAGCAGCTTACATACATGACAGAGAACTCAATGCTGACATGTTTATCAAAAAATTCTGTGGGGTCAAGTTTTTAAGTGGTAGAAAGTTTGTAAAATTTCCAAACAGCTTTATCTTTACCATGATGTAAATAAAATGATGTTTCTATAAAATGTACATAGAGAGCTTAGTCACTATAATGTAAGAACAGCTAAGTAGATAAAATATATGCTTAAGCTCAGAGTTAGAAATGACAAAACATAATATACACACAGCTGTCAGTAAAAATGTATATGTGTATGCATACAATGACACCATGCACTGGCTAAGGTGTCTTATAATGAATTGATACACCTAATTCCATTGATGAACATTCAGTAATTTTTTTTCTTTGACTAAACCTCATAAAGTATAAATATCTTGAAATTAACAATGTTCTAAGGACAATTCTCAAAATTAATTCACAGAACACATCCAAAGGCTAATTTTTTTTACAAATAAATTATTTTGGAAATATGTATGCACACAAACAGTTTCATTTTGTCTTAAACAAAATCTTATAATGAACAAAAAAGCCTTCAGATTTATTAACCAGACTCATATATCTACAGGCTACATAAGACATTGAAACAGCCACATGCCAAGCTAAGTAACAACCAATACCTCAATATGAGAGACGTGTAGCCTATCTATGGTTTGTTCAACACTAGTGCCACCAGTAGAGATACAAGGTGAGCTTATATGCAGATGATGACGTCAACAAGGCTTTGATTAAAGCGCAACAGATTCTTCTACGTACCAGGACCAATCCAAAAAGCAGACAAGGCAAATAACAAGAAAACCACCCCACCTATAAGAGTCACTGGAACACGAAAAAAAATTGGCATGGATTAGTTTAAAAAAATAAGATGGTATAAAAAAAAATAGAAAACATAACTTTAGTTTTAAAAACAAGTTAATTAAAAAGTCTAGTGACAATTTTAGCGCAATTTCCTTATGTTATCTAAAAATAGCTCTGTCGTAGCGTAAATCAAGAGCAGGGTTAGTAAAACCATTGGTTAGTTATTAAAACGTTTTTTATTAAATAAACCTAACTACTAACTAAACTAAGCACCTTGAAATCAAGAGCAGGGTTATTAAAACCATTGGTTAGTTGAACTTGATTATCAACATGATAATCATTAAGATGATAGATCTCTACTTCCGGCATGTATATACAACCACACCACACACGTCATCACGTTCAATAGATGCGTCATCGCGTTCCATGGCTGCGCCATCACGTTCAGTAGGCGCGCAAGTTAATTAAAAAAGTCTAGTGACATTTATGCGCAATTTCCTTATGTTATCTAAAAATAGCTCTGACGTATAATGATGGGGTGCGTTCAAGCTAGAAGAGCGATCGGTTTGTAGGTGTTTATGTAATTTTAAAATTTGTGACCAAACGAGAGGATATTTTTGAAAACTTTCTTCGGCAATATTGTTCTAAATTATGGCAGGAATCGATTGGTACATGTTTCAAGTCGCTAAGTGGTCTGGTTGCCGAGATATGGGCCAAAAACTGCATTTTTTTGAGGTTTTTTGGCTTTTACGGGAAATACATGAAAGAAACCCGGAATTTTTATGGCCTATGCTCATTCTCGTAACTTGCTTAACATAATTGCTTTTGGAACTAGTCATCGATATTGCTTCGTTGAGGAGGAGATACGACTTAAAGCCCGGACACACATTCATCCATTCATTCATTCATCCATCCATCCATCCATTCCCAGAAATGACGAGTTAATAAACGCAATTCTCCAGAATGGAAATTGCGCTAAAAATGTTACCTGTTCGAACAGATATCCTTTGAGCGATGAACCTCCCACCCATAACAGCTAGACCTGTACACAGAAAATGACCAAGACAACCCCCTAGCATAACTCCAAATACATCCTGTATAAAAAATATAAAAAATTATTATATTGTGTAAAATAATTAATAAAGATTCTGTTTAAGTAAAATCTAAAATATAACTTTTTAAAACTTTCATTTAAATAAGTACAGATGAATAAGAATTTTGAACCAATCTATTATTTTCTATCAAGAGAAGTTATACTTACAAATATTTTTAATTTAAAAAATGTAATATCTTTTATTCAAACTTGAAACTGACCTCCCTAGCCCCTAGAATGATGGTGGCAATTTGTGATCTGTCTCCCCACTCAGCAAGAAATGTTAGCGTCAGAGACTGGAGAAACACTGTGGACAGGAGGCCAGAAAAAAATCTCCTTCCTGGACTTCGAATGATTCCTGTTTCAATGTCCTGAGTTGGTAGATTTTGTTTCTCTATCTACAAGATCAGAAGGCCAAAAGGGATAAACACCAAGTTTATACAAAAGCAATGCTATGTATAGATCATAGTCAACAAAACAATTGACCTGTTACTTCTTATACTAAATGAATAAATTAATGAAAAAGTTAAAAGAAATGGTTGAAAAAACAAAACAAAAACACAGTTGCACTATATAAAATGTCAAAAACTTAAATACAAATATTGAACAGTAACTTAAAGAAGAAAATAAGATTGCTAACTAAGTGACTAACATAATAACAAACTAAAAGTTAACAATGAATGAACAGGAAAACAGAGGAACTCAAGGTTTGGGTTTGAACATTTTATAAGGCAATGAAACTTTTACTGTAAGACAGTGATGTGAAAAAATAATTATTTAACCTACAAATGATGCAAGAAAAAAGTCACAAAAAATGTAAATACAAAGTTACTGTTCTACAATCGCACAAAGTTTTCATAAAATGAAGAGACCTTAAACAAGTTACAAAGTTTTATGTATGTACAGATTACATGTAAGTACATCTTCAAGTCAAGTAGAGCAAGTTATAAAATCTGAAGATAATTTGTCATTGTATTTGAAGTCCCTCTTAACCAAACTGCATAACTCCACAAATGTTAGTACATAGTCAAATTGAAGCTAGCAAACAGCCAAAGTTAAGCCAACATGCCCTACTTAAATTCCACAAATATCCGATGATATCAGAAAAATACCAAGTTTGAATTTTTAAAATTAAGAATTCTGCAACCTATACTTTTTTATTGGCCATTTTAAAAGCAAAAATAGTTATTAAAAAAAAAAAACAAAAACAACCCTATTTTTCTACAAAAAGTGTTTCTTTGTAAATAAATAAGGAAAATTAAGCGTGAATAAGAGTTCTTGGATAGGTAAATGTGTTTATGAGAACAGAAGCATTATAGCTAAACATTTGAAAGTTAAGCCTTGAAAAAATTATTTTCAGTAATAGAAGAAACTAGTGACCTGAATTGTCAAAACATATATAGCTGCTGTATAAAAGCAAGACCCAAGCCTTAAGTTGTAGCACCAATATTAAATTATGTTCAAAGTTTTAAAAAAACATAAAAAAAATAATAAACAATCACTTTTTTTTCCTCTTCTTCAACCATTTGTGCAAGTAACTGAAATACATGAATATTCATGAGATCCTAATCACCCTACTGGATTCTGGGATTAAAAGGATACAAATCAGAAAACCTGTTTCCTTAATCCAAATTTAAAAAATAAAGACCTACAAATGGAAACAAACTTTTTAATAAAGAAACTCTTGATTGGGACACAAAAAAAGTCAAACAGTAACTGGATCCTTAGAGTAGCAAAATGTCATAAGAAAGCGAGAGAATTACCTCATCTTCTCTCCTCTTGAGATCAGCCTGCACCTCCTCATATTCCTCTTTACCCTCGTCTTCAGACATGTACCAACCTAATTGTTTCATTGAAAACTTGTTTTAAAATATTGAAATTTACATGAAGAATAATTTATAAAAGCTACGAATTTTTAAATTTACAAGTAAGAAGCATATTAAAAATGTGGATACCTTCTCTTAACATTTTCAGGCCAAATACAGCAAAAAGAGCAGATGATACATAGTAAGTTAAAGCCCTTGGGATCACAGTAGTAGCATATCCGACCATTGCTGGTATATGAAAAAAAAAATTAACAGTATATTAACACTAAACAAATGAGCATATGTAAAAAAAACATGAGCTTTAGTCTATATAATCCCTTCCAAAAATCTTTACCCTTTTACAAACTTTTTTTAAACCCACCTGACAAAAAAGTCATAAAAAACAGAGCGCCAAGGGCCCCCATTAGGACAGTCACTCTGGAATGTGTCATGGCCATGATGGCTGCGATGAAAAATGTTTTGTCCCCCAGTTCAGATACCACAATGACAGAGAGAGATGCTATAAAACCATGAGTGAAGCCTTGCTTCTCTTTACTCATCTTCTTTATAGATGGCAAAGATTCTTCTGTCTAGAGAGTATAAACAAAAACCTCATTATTGGAGACATTAACAGCGTGATCAAATAGTGCTTTAGGAACAAGCAATAGTTTTATCTACATCTTGTATGTACAATGTTAGTTACACATTCACTATTGCATGCAAGTTTTTAGACATTATGAAACATTTTACATAAAATTAAAAAAAACAAACAACTAAGACATAGGAATATTGAATAAAAATACTATAATTTATTCATAAACATTAAGTTTGTAAGCTTTCAATAGACAAACTTATAAATAAATAATTAAATTGGTGTCCAATCAACAAGGTTATGCAGGAATATTTGGCAAAAGCTTGACCTTTCTAATACAGGAAATGCTGATTTCAAAAAATTACACTTTACCTTTTCCATGTGAGATGAATCTTTTCCCTTTTCTTCTTTACTGTTGGAGTCATCCTCGACGTGTAAAAGTTCTCTACTAGGGCCATAGTTATTGTATTGTTGTGCTAGTGTGTCTGTTAATGAACTTTCAAAACACAGTGCTGTTCCCCAACACACAGCCAGCAGAAAAATAAAACAGTTTTCTTTTCTTGTCATGATGTTTGCTTTGTGGATATCCTATAGTTTGTACACAATTTTATATTCCACTTAGGCTGCTACAAAGCCATTATCCTGCTCTGTTGTTTCTTTGTTTAAAGCCTCTTAAGGCTAAAGATTTTTTGTGCTGAGTCAGCAGAGTAGATGGTACTCACTTTGTTAACTTCATACACACCTATTTTAGAAATTTAAAAAATATTTAGATTTTACAAAAAAATAAACACAAAATGAGTAGCCTACACATAAAACATAGGCTAAAGTGTAAAACACGAAACAGATGATGGAAGACTAAGAAGACTTGGTAAAAAATATGCTATCAGTATCAGACAATCAGTTAACTAAGGATAGGCAGTTTTTCTTAAGGCTATATTATTTAAACATCACTTGATAAAACTGATTTTACTCCTGGAAGATATAAATAAATAATATAGGCAGGCCTATCATTTTAAATTTTATTTTAATAAAAAACCTAAAAGATAGGCCTAGATTATAATTTATAAGATGAGAGTGTCTATTCGTACTTCACTACGAATAGCCTTCAGAGGGCTATTTGTAGTGAAGTACAAATAGCTACGGAGGCTATTTGTACACTGACCAATCAGATTATCGGTAGGTATTTGTACACTGACCAATCAGATTATCGGAACGTATCCGTACACTGACCGATCAAAGCAGTGTAAAATCCCTCCCAGTTTAAACCTTTCTAGTCTAGAGCCGCACACTCGACAAGAAAGTTTGCTACACGATGTAGCCTACGTCATGATTTTTTAATCATTTTGCCTTCAGTAGCTGTTTTGACAGCTACAAAGAATTGGAGGCAGCTATTAAAGCTTTGGATAGTAGCAAACAAATCAAACTTTTATTTAACATAACAAAAAACAGTTTAAGAATTTAACAGTAAACAGAACAAATGAAATGGTACAATATCTATCAGATCTAAGAGACAAATAACATGGCTACCTTGTACGTGTAGTAAACAAAAAGCTGCTTTATATAAAAAATAATAAAAATCAACTGATCTGGGTCAACATCTCTTGTATTGATACATGTTTTTATTACAAACAACAAAAAATACTACATAATTTAAAACTACTTTTGATCAACAGCTTATAATACATTCAGTTACTAAACATGCACTTCAAGAAGACAAAAGTTTTATCACTACCTTTGCGTGTTGTGTAAAAGCTGTTAGGGGTAATCCTTAAGATTTTAAGGCGATTTCTACCTCCCTAATACTATTATCGCAAATGCCAGACCCCCATTCTTATCGATAGTTACAGTATAGTAATACTGAATTATCTTTAGATATCTATATCTTTTCTATATATTTTAATATAGACCTACATAATTTATTTAAATTTAATTATTTTATAATAATTATATATAGGCCTAATTAATACATAATAATTCAATAATTGTAGTCTAAAGACTCTAGACTCTAGTTAATGTAATTACAGCTAGGACCTAAGTACAAACCTAGCCAAATGTTTAAGGGAGGGGGGGATGCCTCGCTCTGATTGGTCAGTGTACAAATAGCCTTCTGAAGGCTATTGGTACTTCACTACAAATAGTCTTCTGAGGGCTATTCGTAGTGAAGTACGAATAGCCGCAGCCTATAAGATTACCCTTTTCCCTAATAAGTAGGCCTATAATAATTCCATATGCCATATAGCCTAGATCTATATATTATATAATGTAGGACTATAATTAGCCTATAATATAATATAGATGAGATCTACTCTTAAATAGTAAAAACTTAAAAGTATAGGAGTATAGGGGCCTAGTGACTTGACTTGAAATCTAGATTTTAGACTAGACTAGATCTAGAGTCTAGATAGTATAGAATTAAATATATGAATTAAACTTTTTTTTAAACAATGGAATTTTTTTAAGGACCTGGCCTACTCTTTTGACTTTTATTAAATTATTATCAATATGATGAGCGTAACTCTATAATGAGGAACAGTGAACTAGAATCTAGATCTAGACTAGTTCAACTTGTTTACTAGAGTCTAGAACTAGATTTTTAGAAATTAAAAATTAAATTAATAAATTGATAGGTAGGAGTAGGCCTAGTAAAAATGACTAGATCTAGATTTCTAAATAAAATAATCTAGATTTTAGGCCTAGGCCCTATTTAGAATTTTAAATAGATCTAGAGTTAGATCTAGATCTATCTAGCTAGAATCTAGATCTAGATCTAGGAATAAATGTCAAATAAATATGACATGTCACTGTTACCTGTTACACAAAATTAATATAAATAGGCCTACTTTGATTTTGAAAATACTAGATTCTAGATCTAGATCTAGATTCTAGATTCCTAGATCTAGTCACCTAGTGACCAGTGAATACTTTACACGAAATTAATTACTAATAGCATAGATTATAGATCTAGATCTAGTTCTACATAATACTATACTACACATAATACATACGATGACAGGTCGGGAGTCATAACAAGAACAATTAATTTTTTTTTGTCGTCAAAGACTAAAAATAAAAGCAAGGCCAGAGGCCTTCGCAACATGACACGCACTTCCACAAGTAACTTCCCCTTGAAATGTAAAATTAAAATTTTGCATCCCAACTTACTACTCCAGGCGAAATAATTTATCAATTAGCAAAGCAAACTCAGATTTCCTATTTTGAGACAAACCCCGAATAAAAGTGTAATATCCCAAAGCTTATAAATATAATAACTTTTCACATGTTGACAGATCTAGTTAAAGACAAATAGATCTAGTAGTTTATTAGTATTAGTTTTTTTGTTTATTAGTAGAGCTATTTAGAGTAAGAAACAAGGTTCGTTTAGCAGACAAAAATCTTGTTACTAAATAAAAGTAGTAGGACTAGGCCAAACAATCGCGAACATTGAAAAATATACCAGGGTACGTCTAGTTTGGCAATAAGTAAACTATTTTACCTGGTAATCGATCAAAAAACCACGGTAAAATGTTTAATATAAAGTTAATTCTAGATCTTGTTAAAGGAGGCTTAATCATTGATTACGATTAGCGTATTATTTATTAAATATTAAATCTAGTTGGGACTGATGCATTCTTAAATCATACAGATCTAGATCTAATTTCTCCCCCCACAGCCACTGCCAATAACGCAACTGAAGGCCAAAACGGATTCCTCAAGGCCCTAACTAAAAGAAAGGGGTGTTGTGTATTGCCAGTTCTTCCAATATAAAGCCAAAAAAAAAAAAAAAAACAGAAATCGTGACTTTTTTTTTCAGACCAAAGACCGTCAATGATTAGTAATATTCGGTTTAATCCTTAAGGGGTTAGGGATCGTAAGGTTAGTTTTTGACATTCACAATAGAAAGGCTGTTGAGTATTTGAATTTATCGTCGATAGTAATAGAATCTACTAAAACAAAGGCAATTAATACTTTTATGATGTATTTTAAATGTACGTTTTTAATAGGTAAAATAAAAACCTCTAACAGTGTAACACTACGCCACTACGCTCTTTAGTTAGAACAGGGGTCTCCAAACTGCGGGCCGCATTCCACTGAAAAAACGTTTGTTGGTGATGGCTGAGGAACTTTGCCCAGAAAAATCACTACATGCCTGGAAGAAACTGGCCCCCGAACTGAAATTTGATAGTTAATGCGGCCCTCGAACTGAAAAGTTTGGAGCAGTGTTTCTTCCAGACTTTTTTCTCCGGGGGGGGGGGGGGGGCAGTAGACTTTCTTCGGGGGGACGGACACTGTTAAAAGTATATATTTTCTATATAAATTATATAAATTTAATTTCGTTAGGGGGGGGGGGTGGTAAAAATGTTTCGGGCCCCCGAAGAGATGCCTGGAAGAAACCCTGGTTTGGAGACCCCTGAGTTAGAAGATGGAATATTTTTAAATTAATTTAATCTAAGACTAAGACTCTAAACTGTTTAACTATTTGTTATATAACACTAAATTCTGATTTTACTTACTCTATAATTCAAATTTATAACAAAAATGATCTATTTATTGATTGAAATATTTGTGAAATCATATAGATAGATAATATATGTGTGTGTATACATAACATATATCTATAATATAAGCCGCCTGGTAATGTGTCATTCCTTCCATCATCGGCATAGTTACTTCATCTTCGCTTTTAGAGCTGGAGAATGTGATTTCGCGTAGGGAGGGCTATTGCTGAGTATGTAGCCCGGGGGAAACATGGTGTTCATCATACCTGGAGAGGGCAAGTGGCTCTCCCTGGGGAAATATGTTGTTCGGCGGTAGTTTAAATTATACCACAGGTTGAGGGAGATGGGAAATCTAGTGGATGTTTGTGATGGCATTGCACCATTTTTTGTTACCGTAGAGGAGCACTGGTATAAGCTAACATACAGATCCCCTAATTTCTATTAATATCAGTACAAATTTTATTCATAAGCCTAATTAAAATAAAATTTAAATATTTAAAACAATGCCCACCTCTTTTCTTTATGTTTAGGCATATTTTAAATCAGAACTGAAAAAAATGCTGAGTGATAACTGTGATCTTGACCAACAATCTCAGACATGGCCAGAACTTACAGGAAAGGTATAATTAGTACAATCCTATATTGTTGCCTCTAAATCAACATCATAATTGTTTAGTAAAAATAACATTATAGTACCAAACTCTATGGTTTTTAAACAAGAAATAAAGTTTAGCAAGAATAATGAATAGCCATTAAATGAAACTAATTAATATTATTTATAATTTTCAATTCTAAATAATAAAATACTTGTATAAGAACACCATTCCTTACATTGTAGTTCAGGAAAAACAGAAACCAACAGGTTGAAAATTTAATATGTATGCTTCCACTTTGTAAAAAACACACCTGTCTAGAATATCTATGTCGAGCGTAACTAACTACTTGCTTATTATGTTCTATTTAGCTGTGTTTGTTTTACATCTGCTGTGAAAAGATTATTGATTACTGTTTTTTTGTGTTATACTTCTACTATTAAGTCTCAGTGCTACCTAACAATGTGATATATATATATATATATATATATATATATATATATATATATATATATATATATATATATATATATATATATATATATATATATATATATATATATATAATTGTATATAATTGTATATATATATATATAAGTAAAATATATATAAATATATATATAAAAATAAATAAATATATATAGAAATATATAGAAATATATATATATATATATATATATATATATATATATATATATATATATATATATATATATATATATATATATATAAGTGAGCTGTACATTTACAGACATTTGAAGAAGCTGCAGAAAAAATTAAGAATGATAGACCAGATGTAACAGTAAGTTGGTTGTTGTTCCTATGTTTCAATCTGTGAATTTATATTGTTTTTCAAGATGTAAGACATACAGTTGTTCACGTGTAGTTCAGCTGTATATAACTTGAGTCTTGTGTATTGAAATGGTATTGAAATGTATACATAGGTATTACACAATATGAATTGTTATAAATAGAGATTCATTGTGTAACTCTAGAGGTCCAACTGCATAAACAGGGAATCAATAGTTTAATGTGGGGCTCTGCTGTATAAGTAGGTATTCAATGTTTTGACTTGTTTTGTAGCTCAGCTTGTGTAAGCAGCTTGAAATTTCCATAATTGTGAATACACAGGTACATCGTGTTCCGATGGGAGCTATGGTGACAGCTGACTATAGAACTGACAGAGTGAGGGTGTTTGTTGATGACAATGGCAGAGTTTCTACTGCCCCATCTATAGGCTGATGTCTAGAAACTTTAAAATATGGAAACTAGTTAATCATTTCTAATTTATTTATTCAGTAGTTTTCACGTTTCTTGTGTTTTATCTGTATTGACTGTATAACATTTGTTGACTTACTTATGGAATTTTAAATTGAATTTTTGTATATTAAAATTTTACACCCTATTTTATATAAAGATAGATGGGCTAGGTGCAAGTCCATTGATTTATAAGAACCTTATAATAATAATATAAGCTGAAGTGTAAGCGACCTTTTTATGTCTGTTGTTTAGCTTGAAAATGTATGATTGTAATTTTGTTGTAAAATGTTTATCGAAAGTATATTTGATATAATGCTTCTGTGATAATCTTTTTATGTGATGAAAAAATAATTGAAACATTATATCATGAATATTAAATATCAAATTATTTATTTTTCAAATGCTTTGATACTGATAATTAAAAAAAACACCATGTAATTTATAATTTAATGTAAAGTCTAAATTATTTACTATCTTAATTTGCTCAGTTATAGTCTACACTAAATAAATATATATTTATAACAATTAAAATAGATTTTGTTATCTTTTCATGTGAGGTTAAAAAGAAAAACAATTTAATGTGTATTGTATTGTTGTGTGAGAGATAACTAATGGTTGTATGCTGTATTGCGACTGACTCAAAATATGTGTAATTATAAATTTTTATAGTGGGCGTTGTGAATAATAACAATAAAATCTATATTTAACAATAATTAACTTTCAAATATCTGGCACGTAAGATTTTACTGTGCTAAAAAACTAAAACCGGCTAAATCAACAGTTCAAACTGTTCAGAGAATTTGCACTGTCCAGCTCCACAACAGCCCCGCCCCTCCTCGACACGTCTAAGGACGGGAGAGTGGGGTGGGGGCCATACTCATGACACATGAGTGACACCGTTCAAGAGAGCGAACCACTACTAGCCCTTAAGTCCCGAGTCCGGACGTCCACGATTAAACTCAGCTCTGATGGGTACCCTACCGTACCCAACTCTACGTATGGAAAGGAAAGACCCTTTACTTTTAACACCGCTCATACTCATTATGGTTTAGCTTAAACTTAATTAACATAATTTAGCAGCGATCAGTTACTTCGTCATGATGGCCACTGAGTGTTTCTTTCGCGCATCTCTGTGGGGGGGGGGGGGGGGGGGGGGCAGAGCGTGTCTACCGTCCCCCTTCCTCAGGACAAAGTAGAAGAAATGTTGAATTTAAACAGAAAATATATAATCTAACCATAAACAAAAAGTATATATGCCTACTCTATCCATTCTTATTTATTCCCCCTCCGAGATTTTCAAATCCCCACCCCTACCATATGTATGAAAGAAACCCTGCGATGTACAATACAGCTACAATACGCTATTTCATGTATTTCATTTTGTGCCACCTTCTCAGATGGCGTCACTCTGCTTACATGGTGTATTTAACATAGGTCGGTTACAATTTTACCCAATGATCTAATAACCTTCCCCCCCCCCCCCCTCTTCCTTGTCGTACGACACCCGTCTGTGCTAATTGATGTGTTAAACAACTATTTGTAATAAGTACACAATGGTTTCTCGGTCAATTACGTCCTGCCATTACGCAACCAGTGTCAGTATAGAATCAATATAAGCATCTTTAACATTGAAAGTAATCAACAATGGCATTTCAATTTCGGCGTGGTCGAATGGTAGAACATTCGGCTGCTTGCCCAAGTCTTTCGAGTTCGGATCTCGGTTCAGACTTGTGACTGTAAGACTTCCCTGTCCATCCAGCTCATATGGGTACCTGAATCCCGTTGGTGAAGGTGGCATAGTGCTGACCACACCATCCCTTCATATGCCGAGTCAATAAACAGATGAACTCTACTTCATCTTCTTTAATCTATATATATATATAATTCTCTTCTGGGAGACGCTATAAAACAAGCTGTAAGCGCGCTCCTTACCACCCCCGCCCCGACTAGGTCTGGTGAGCTGTGGTTCACGCTAAATGTTTACCTTCGTAGAGCCGGGTTTAGTGCGGCTATTAGGGGCAGATAATTTAGTTTGAAACGATTTTAAACAGGGGAGGTAACTAAGAGGAGGCTGCTTTCACGGGGGAGAGGGGTGTAGGGTAGGGGTTGGGAGATAGGAGGGTGGGGATAGTATCGTCCTTAACGACCTACTGATAGTGTTTTAAAGCAGATATTTTCAGTGGCAGCATTGGTGCTGTCGAATTCACAAATTATGAATTACTGAAAAGTAGAAAAAACAACTAAATAGCGGCGTATGATATGCCGCGGGTCGGCTCGTTTACTTTAAAGCAGTTGAAGACTATCAACATGCACACACCAATACTGTTAAATATAATCA